ACACACACAGTCAATAGTCTGATCAATAGGAAACAAGGTCTGCAACAGGACACCAGCATCACTCTCTCTCACACACACCCCTTCAATAGCTCCCTGTTGCCTAGCAACAGTTGAATTTGCACCCACTTTAAATGGAGAGAGGTGTGTGTGTGTGTGTGTGTGTGTGTGTGTGTGTTGATAACTGACACTGTACACTGATCTGTGTTACATAACTTCAATTTCTACATTCAGTGTGTGTGTGTGTGTGTGTGTGTGTGTGTGTGTGTGTGTTAATTAATGACACACCTGACCTGCACCCAAACACTAAATAATGAACATTAATAACACACACACACACACACACACACACACACACACACACACACACACACACTCTCTCCCTCTCTTCCGGGAGGCCGCACTCAGACCGCGGACTCGCCTGGCTGCTGCTGCGGCCTCTCGGAGCTCCTCTCCCGGCCTCAGAGCTCAGCTCCTCCCGCTAACTTTAAAGCTAACGTTAAGACGCTTCTCGGTTTAACGACGTTTAACGACGCGACAACCCGTTTAAACACCTCGGTAGCTTTCATTACACCCTCACCCTCTAAACCCAAACCAACCGAATGAGGATAATTAATCCATTAATTAATAAATAACACTAATGTTTGGTTGTGTAGCGGCTCAGCTAGCCGGCATTAAAGCCGAGCTACAGGGCTTTTCTCCCGGGTTGAACCGTGCTAACCCCGGCCGGTCAGCCGACACTAACCTCTGGATATATAATGTAAAATAAAGCGGTTTAAATGAGAGCAGACGGGGTCGAACAGGAGGTAAAACAAGTCTGTTAAAGCTCCTTTACCTTCCGCCTTCAGCACAGCCGCCATCTTCTCCTTCTCTGACGTCACCGCGTAGCGACGTGGGAGGCGGGGGGGGGGGGGGTTATTATTAAGAATAATAATGAAAACTGATGATTATTATTATATATCTATAGATATATATTGATTAACCCTTAAACAGGCAGGAGTGTAAAATAAGTTGCACTCACTCATCTCTCTGGGCCCTAACAGAAATAATATATATTCAATATATTATAAAGTCATAAACTATCCCACAAACGGCTGCTCCAACGAAGATCTTCAAGCCCCAATGGTGAGGTTTGCTCGGGAGATACTGTCAGAGAGACCCAGCCTTTGTTCCCTTGTAAAGGAACATCACTTCATCTATTGAGAACTTGTTCTCACTCTCAGTTTCCAGCACTGGTGGCACTGTGCAGAGCCGATCTTGGGTTGGGTCTGATGTCTGATTGTCTTGAAAGTGGATGAATTGTGAGAGGCATTTAAGCCTTTTTACTGACATTGGCTATTTTGGCATAACGTGTGTGTTCTGCCCAATAATCATCCATAGATGGCATTCTCACCACTCCCATGATTAGCTTAATGCCAACAAATGACTTGATCTCATCCACAGTGGTGTTAATGCTGGCTCCAATTAACTGACAGCTGTAGAGATTTGTCTGTTCAGCAAAATGTTGGAACAGATCGTCATCAAAAAATTGGGCAAAGCAGCTACGTGGAGAAGACAGCTCATCAGGTGCGCTGAATTCACTGACAGCTGCTGTTGACTGGTGCTCAAACTCTTTCTTACGCCAGCTGTAAAAAACAAACACAATTAAAGCTGCAAGCAGCGTTGATGGGACCTCGCACTCCACGCAACTTAGGGCGTGCTGCGGACGCGTCACGTGCCATAGTTACATGTGCAGCCAAAAACATGAAATTTCACGTAAATCAGCTCAAAATCGCAACGCAGCGCTTACTTCCTGTTGCCAGTAGGTGGCGCTCTCACTATGTCTTAATATTGTCATGTAGACGTGTTCAGGGTGGGACTGTTATCAAACACGTGAAGTTTCATTGAGATTGGACCACGTACGCTGAAGTTATGAGGACGTGTTCAGGGCAAAACTGTTTCAGAATATATGAAGTTTATTGGAGATTGGACATTGGACACTGAAGTTATGAGTACTGTTTTATAGCGAATCGGCTGAATTCGAGAAGTTGTCACTGGCACGCGGTTCAACGTACAGTCACAAATAGCTCAACTTTTAATCAGCACCATTTTTTGACTCTACTGACCAATTTTTAAGCAGATCGGACAAATGCCCTAGGAGGAGTTCGTTCAAATACAACGCGAAAAGTTTGCCGAAAGTGAAAATGTGGGGTTTCGGGTATGGGTCCAAGAGGCTTTTTTGTATGTCCCGGCATGTTACACGTGCCTACCGAGTTTCGTACATATTGGTGAAATGTGGCGCCGGGGCTGCTGTTTTTTTATCCTGTAGGGGGCGCTACAAACACGATTTTTGGTACGTGAGCTTCAGGCACTGCTCTACACGTGCCCTGTGAATTTCATATTCATAACTGTTACGGTCTCCGCACAGTGATTTATCATGCCACCAGAGCGCCACCTAGTGGTGATGGCCTGAAATTGTGCACGATGCCTAAGGAAGACATGGGGAACTATGGACCCAAGTTTGGTGTCAATCGGTGATACCAATGTGGAGAAATGGTCCGTTTCCTTTTTTGACAAAAAATCCACAGGAAGTGATAATTTTATAATGTGCTTATTTTTTAAAATAACAAAATTCTTTTAATCACTTTTTTATTATGACGGTCCTCAGATGATACATGAAAAGTTTTGTGCGAATCGGACAAAGCGTGTAGGAGGAACATGAAAAAGTAGTTTATGGACATTTCACGCTCTGCCGGAAAAAAATTCCAGGCGGAAGTGGGCGGGGCCTATATGGGGAGATTCAGCTCCATTCACCGAACGCGTGGATATAAGTTTTATGAATGTGCAACAAACTCTGCGGGAGTTAATAGCCTAAACGCACTTTTCATGATAGTAGAGCCACCTAGTGGCGGACCCGAAAGCGACGCATAGAATATCACATTTTTCACCAGGCCTGACCACTTTGCCAAATAAAACTGACTATTCGTATATGTTCAGTCAAAGGCGCTAAAAATAATAATAGGGAGGAAGAAACGAAGCAAAAACAATAGGGACCTCCAGCGGTCACTTGCGAGGCTCCTAAATATATATACATAAATACACAACTGTTATTTGTATAAAGTGGTATTATGAGCCAGTATGGACTGAATTTAGCTGGTTAGTGGCCACTGTCAGTAAATATCACAACCATACAGAAGGTTTGTGTTATTTCACCTTACATCAACTAACGTTACAGATATTTGTATGGATTGCACATATAAGTGTCCCTAAATAAAACTACTGTCACCTGAATCCCTTGGCTTGTTTGGACTTTGTACTGCGATCCATCTCTTCATCCTCCTCATCAGAACTGCCGTCACTCACTGCCTCTATCTCATTCTGGCTGAAAATTACTTCCTGGTCTTCATCACTGTTTGACTCAGAGTCAGAAGAACTCGCAGGGATCTCCTCTATCACTCTCATTCCTGTGCTTTCCTTTCTTTTCCCATAAAAGGACCGAGCCGAGATGCCCTGCTTGAAAATAAATGGCTTTTTAAAATAGAGTTTCCTGTTGTAATGGGCACAGCTGTGCATGATAATATCTGGTACTGCAGTAATTATTAACATGCCTTCCAGTCTGAAACTACATTTTGAATAATGCACATTGACGTATCTCCGGGGATACATACATTTCAAAAGCTGCTGAGTAACACCACAAACATAGTTGGAACATTTTTTCTTCATCAGAATGTTTAGACAAATGTCCTAATTAATTTTAGGAATTTATATTGTTGTTTTATTGAAAATAAGTATGACTAATATACGATTACTTACCCCCAAGGAAGCGATGAAAGATAGCCTGAACCAAATCATGTGATCTAGACGCTGATACCAGACAAGACTTTAGATAAATGCTAACTGTATCAGTGAAAACCTCCAGCACACCCCCTACAGGATGTAGAAGAGTGTGTATCTCCTGGTGCACAGTGCCTGCTGGTCTTCATTCTGTCACTAATACTGTAAAGGATCAACTATCAACATTAATGTATTTATTGATTACCCTCTCTCTGTCATATACTGCAGCATACATATATTTCTATCTTCTATACATTGTCATATATTGTATTATTATAGACATATTTCAGATTATTATTATATTTTCATATATTTATAATATTCAATAACTCTGATCTAACGCCACTGTTGTTTACAACAATAATCTGACTCTTCAAATGTTTGTTTATTCTCTTATAGTCCATTAAAAGACTATAACTGATCATAAATCAATATGTTTGCATAAGTCACAACAAATCATTACAACAATGTATCAGCTGTAATTTAATTCTCTCTATATTATTATAATATCATTATGTCCTGATAATTCTCCCTATTGTTAATAGAAGCAGTAAACATTATGTCTGTACACAGAAACTGAACGTTGCATTAAAAGTCCAGTGTGTGTGAATAACTGAATACAGCTCAGCCCTCAGCCGCTCCCTTTGTAGACAGAGACAGACTGATTGTACAGTACTGAATATCCCAGTAATGTCTTACACTGGAGCTGTAAAGCAGGCGTACAGACGTACAGACATTCTCTGGAGCAGAAGTGTTGAAGGACACAGAGACGAGAGGCATTTAGAGAAAAATATCTGTGGTTTATTTTGTATAAAAGCGGAGCGCGTCGTCCAGCAGGAGGAGCTCTTCACCTTCCCAGAGACTGACCCGAGCTCTGCTTTAAAAACCAGCACGTTACCGCTCTCCTCACACCGACCGACGGCGGCGGAAGCGTTGGTGGACAGCCGCAGTCTGAGCGAAGCAACGGACGAAGACGCAGATTAAACTTCACTGCTTTTATTCAAACCGGTTCGAGTCAGCCTCAGTTTCTTCCTCAGCTCCAGGAAGCAAACTGCAGCGTTCGCTCCAATACAAAATAAAGTTTGTTTCTACTTGTTAAAAAGGTTCCACATTGTTGTGATGCATCCTTCAATCACTGCAGACGTCTTGTAAACTTAAACCCAAACACAAAGAACACTGAATTGAAACGAACTGTATTTACACTGATCACCGGTTGAAGGACGTCCTGCTTTGTGTTGCAGCTGCTGACAGTCTGCAGTGGGATCAGCTCTCTCACACTTTATTCTACTTTAATAAATATATTCATCACTTACACTAGAAGTGCTTTGTATGCTATCCGCACTGGCAGCTTAACAGTTTTCACATTAAAAGCCTGCCAGTTATTGGTAGGCTTTTATTGTGAAATATTCACAGGAAGTGCCGACAGCAGCGGTACGTCGATCCGTACAGACTCCAGTTCCTCCTGATGGACGTTACGCTGCTGCGACACTTCCTGTAAGGATTTCACATTAAAGGCGTACTGGTGAACAGGCAGGCTGGAAGACTTAATGTGAAATATTCACAGGAAGTGTCGGCCGCTTAACGCCAACCAGGACAGACGGGATCCGTTTCCCTCTCAGTGATTGTTTATGAGTTGAGTATTTCTAATATATTGGGAGTGACGGACACATCAGGAGCCTCCCGGTGAGGAAGGAAGTGAAGCTGGCGGCTGATTGGAGGTTAAAGTGTGATGTCAGAGCTTCAGTCAGACGGCGGCAGACGGCGACGCTTCAGAGCGACAATAAAAAGCAGCTGGACGACTGCGTCAGAGCGACAGGAAGGAGAGTTAAGACTTCATCTGACAAGCAATCAATAACCAATATCTGATCGGCTTCATCAACGAGGGAGGAAGTAAAAAAAAAACAGAGAGAGAGAGAGACATAGGACAGAGAGAGAGAGAGAGAGAGAGAGAGAGGGGTTGGGTTACAGTGGGAAGAAAACCAGCTCAGATTTAAACTCCACAGGAACAAGTGTGTGTGTGTGTGTGTGTGTGTGTGTGTGTGTGTGTGTGTGCGTGTGTGTGTGTGTGTGTGTGTGTGTGGTAGGCGGGGTCATGATGGCAGCGTGGCCCCGCCCATCCTCCTCCTCCTCATGTGACAGGCTCAGCTCCGGGGTCAAAGGTGATCACATGCCCTGCCTGATGCTCTGGATGATCTGGAAGATGGCTGCAACACACACAATGAGAAGGGATTATTGATTATTGATTGATTATAAGAGAGCATCGATGTATTGAGTGTAGGACTGTGTGATGTGATTAACCCTTTATATCCTGTAAAGTCAGTACTTTATATGAATCTTCTTACAGTCTCTGCTCTGCTGCTCATGCAGTCAGTTCAAACTCTCCCAGCGTAGAGCGGGAACGAGTCAGCGTACAGATGTTTATGATGTAGATTAAAGGCTTTATGGAGCGTGTTACACTCTGTTTATTCACTGTGTCCATGGAAACAATGCCATAAAGTTTACGGCTGGGCTGAGTCTGTTTGAGATCATATGTTTGAATATACATATTTCCATATTGGATCTTTATTGGATCTTTGTTGGGTTTAGTGGTGACTGATTACAGTCGAGGGGTTGAAGAGCTGCTCGGTAACTTCATACAGCCCATGTTTGGACAGATACTGAAACATGACTCAGGATTATTGTGGAGATGATCATTTCTGCATCAAAACACTAAGAAAAGGAGAACAGGATTTGTAGTCCATCATTTTACCTGTTGTCCAAAGACAACCGATAAACAAACATACAGGTTGATGTTATTACTTCATATGATACAATAACCAATAATCACCTGATTCTCATAGCTGATACTGATAAACTCAGTGTTTCCTCTATGTTGATTTTGGAGCGGCGGCCCGCCGCTGTTAAATTTCTGCCGCCACGGTATCAGAAATGTGGCAGACGCACAATGTAGTCACGGTTGCCTTTTAAATGATCCTGCCGACATAATGCCCCCCTGCTGGCTGCCGCTCACATTTCAATTTAACAACAAGTAGAACTATTCAGAGGTTATTGGGGCGGTCCAGTTTAACTCCACATACTGTTGTGTTGATGGAGCTTATTGTCAAAACGTTGGCTTTCTTCCAAGTCGACTGTTAAACTAACAGCTCCACCAAAAACGTCACCGCGGTGGGTCCGTTTTAATTGGACAACGTTCAACTTGTCAGTTCTGATATCAAACATCTGGAAACACTAAAACGGTAAATATATTTGTTTGTGTCGCAGCAAAGTGTCAGCTCTGTTTCATACGTAAAACATTTGCCGGCGTGACGGGACGGGACAGGAGGGGAGTTCAGTGTTTCCTAGAGGAAACACCCCGAACTGACATAATGAAAGTATTCCAATTCAATGTATCGGCTGTAAATTAATTATCCTGATGATTTATAATAATAGAAATTCCCCATAATCAGCTGATAATTGATCCGTCCTCAAATTGTTTAAGTAAAGTCAGTAAAGACAGTGATTGGATTGCACTGAGAGATATAGACGCCTCCGTTTGCTGCTGTCTGACGCCGAGGTAAAGCTGTGGAAATATTGTGATTCTGATTTTTATGTGGCTAAAATATAATCCCTCTGCCACAGTGGACAGTCAGTAACACACTGACTGTGTACAGACTATAAACAGTCAGTGTGTGTTACTGACTGTGTACAGACTATAAACAGTCAGTGTGTGTTACTGACTGTGTACAGACTATAAACAGTCAGTGTGTGTTACTGACTGTGTACAGACTATAAACAGTCAGTGTGTGTTACTGACTGTGTACAGACTAGTGTTGTCACAATACCAAAATTATTGTTTCAATACCGATACCAAGTCAAGAATTGTGATTTCTTTTCTGTAGCAGAAGAAAATGGAAATATTTAAAATATGATGGTGATGAATTTGTCAAAAGAGAGGATCTAAATAGTTTATGTGTGATAGTAACAATAACTTGTGACTAACTTAGCTTCTCTATATGCAGCTAACACTTTACCATAACATTACCATAATCAATAATAGGAAATAATGAGTTAACCTAATGTTATTTAAGCTGTGATATATGGATTAATATAGGCTAATGTTTCCTGTACTTCAACGTCTGATTTCTTTGATGGTTAACTTTATATTTGAGTCCATCATTTCTTACAAGGCGTTTCACAAATACACCTCCTCCTCTGCGGTCTGTGCTCTTTAAATGCTGTAATAACCCAATATAAATAAATCCCTGACAAACATACACATGCTCTGATTATAATCATATAGCCTATAGATCATTTTAGCTGATGTTTGTATGCTTTATTTTAGCAGCTTGCAAATGATTAACGTTATCTGTGAAAGTTGCGTTTTCAGAGATGTTGAATTATCCGTAGGCGGGCTGTTGGTTAGTCATGAGCATAATGCCCATAGTCAGTCTACTATTTCTCTAGATAGCCTCGTCAAACTACGGTGGTGCAAAATAAACCGTAGCCTACTCATTTGACTTATTTAAGGGCATGAATGTGGTCGTGTTATCTTTCACATACTGTCGGTCTTTAAACTCCTTGTACAACTTGGCGTTAGCACTGACGACAAACAGGTCTGGACTTATCGGTAGCTTTGCCCTCACTGTCAGCAAGGTAGGCAAAGTACTTCCATATTTCACTCCTCGCGTCATCTTTTTCTACCAGTCGTGGACCGGCAGCCACAGTATCACTTGTGCTCGCACATAAAGCGATCTCGTTACAGTGTTTGTCACATGACAGCTGCAGCATGAGGAGAAAACACACAGACGTCCATGGGGAGGCACTGGAAGCATGCTGCACACACCAACATGAAATACGTCTCTTACAAATCTGGAACGCGGTCATTCTTAGAAGTATCGATACTATTAAATTTAGGAATCGTGGCGTTTTTAATTTCCGAGAATCGCGATACTTTTGAAGTATCGGTGCACCGTGCAACACTAGTACAGACTAAGTCTTTTTAAGGAGCAGTTCTGCAGAAAAACCACTGAGATCAGATCAGCTGTACAGGAAGCAGAGCCGCCCAACACTTTCCTACACACTCAAGCACAGAGTGTCTCTACGCTGTGTCTCTCTGCGCTGTGTCTCTCTGCGCTGTGTCTCTCTGCGCTGTGTCTCTCTACGCTGTGTCTCTCTACGCTGTCTCTCTGCGCTGTGTCTCTCTGCGCAGTGTCTCTACGCTGTGTCTCTCTGCGCTGTGTCTCTCTGCGCTGTGTCTCTCTGCGCTGTGTCTCTCTGCGCTGTGTCTCTCTACGCTGTGTCTCTCTGCGCTGTGTCTCTCTGCGCTGTGTCTCTGCGCTGTGTCTCTCTGCGCTGTGTCTCTCTGCGCTGTGTCTCTCTGCGCTGTGTCTCTCTGCGCTGTGTCTCTACGCTGTGTCTCTCTGCGCTGTGTCTCTCTGCGCTGTGTCTCTCTGCGCTGTGTCTCTACGCTGTGTCTCTACGCTGTGTCTCTCTGCGCTGTGTCTCTACGCTGTGTCTCTCTGCGCTGTGTCTCTCTGCGCTGTGTCTCTGCGCTGTGTCTCTCTGCGCTGTGTCTCTCTGCGCTGTGTCTCTACGCTGTGTCTCTCTGCGCTGTGTCTCTGCGCTGTGTCTCTACGCTGTGTCTCTACGCTGTGTCTCTCTGCGCTGTGTCTCTCTGCGCTGTGTCTCTCTGCGCTGTGTCTCTGCGCTGTGTCTCTCTGCGCTGTGTCTCTGCGCTGTGTCTCTCTACGCTGTGTCTCTCTGCGCTGTGTCTCTACGCTGTGTCTCTCTGCGCTGTGTCTCTGGACGATACTCACCTGATCCACAAACCACGAAGACGAACAGGGCGAGCAGCCACGGACCCACCGGAGACTTTTCCTCGTTTACTGGCCGCTGAAACACACACACACACACACACACACACACAGAGACACACACACACACACACACACAGAGACACAGACACACACACACACAGAGACACACACACACACACACACACAGAGACACAGACACACACACACAGAGACACAGACACACACACACACACACACACACACAGAGACACAGACACACACACACACACACACAGAGACACAGCACACACACACACACACACACACACACAGAGACACACACACACACACACACACACAGACACACACACACACACACACACACACAGGTCTATTAGGTTGCACCAATCAGTCAATTAATCAATAAGAAGATCGACAGAATATGAATATCTTAAAATAAAAAGAACTAACAGGCAGATCGATCAATAATTGAAATAATCAGCCCTAATTAGATAATGATTCCATGTTTATGACTGCAGATAAAAATGATGAGATACCACATAGACGTCACAACATTAAAACATTTAAAGTGAGAAAGTAAATGACACATTGAGAGATATAACCCAGTGAAGAATGACTGTGAGTGAACAGACTTATTGAGTTGTAACAGTGTCACAGGCCTGTTATACACCCAGTGCTGATCTTACTGATGACAAACCCCACTCACTAATCTGTGTATTTAACAGATAGATACACTTTATTAATGTATTCATTCATTTAATGCTGCACTCTATGTTTACAACAACAATTCAAATAGAAAAAGGTGAAACTGTCTTTGTTCAACCCTTCTTATATTCGTCCTCATTGTGACTCTGGACTCAAACACACACACAGATGTTTGTGCTGTGGTTTGTAACGCGTCCTCCGCCCACTGCACTCACTGTTTATCGACACACTAAAGATGTTAGAAAATCACCAATCGAGCAACGATCGATAAATAGAGTGTGTGCCGAAATGAAGACTGTCTATAGGTGAGTGGACAGGAAGTGTACAATAATACATTTACAGGTTGAATCTCAGCGGACTCGCAGAACCACATTAAAACCGCAGATTTCTGAATGGAGTCTGGTTCCGGTCCACTTCCGTCCATCGGTAGATTCCACAGACAGCACTAGTTTATAATAGCGTTTCTCTCTATATTTTATATTATAACATATTTAAACACAATATAATAATGTGAGACTGAGGTTGCTAATGCTAATGCTAACCGCTAACTCTGCTTCCGGTTTCAAACCTTCATCATTAGCGTTTTAACCAAAAAGCTCAATTAAAGCCGGAATATTCCGCATTTTAAACATTATATTAGTACATTAGTATGACATCAGGCAGCAGCTGGAGCCACGGGCAGCCGTTAGCCGTTAGCCGTTAGCAGCTAGCAGCTAGCCTGGCTCTCAGTACCGAGGTTTTCTGGACGTGTCCCCGCTGTGTGATCGTCTTGCTGTGCCGCTCGTTCGCCACTTTCATCCGCTGCACCGCCGACATGGTTCAGCTTTAACGACCGGGTGGAGGACGGAAAAAGATCCGGGGGCAACCGGTGGGAGAGCAGAGGGTGGAGGCGCCGGTACCGGAGAGAAACGTCCCGCTGGAGGAGAGTCCGGTTCCGTGTTGTTGGGCAGCGTCCAAATCAAGAGCTAACGGGGAGCTAGCTGCTAGCCGAACGAGCTAACTGGAGCGGCTGACCTCATCACGTGACAGGGGAGGGACTCAAGATGGCTCCCTGCTGTCCTCTAGTGGCGGGAAAGAAACGTTAGCTTTAATTTAATTTTATGTACATTTCTTTATTTTCTATTTTCTATACGTCATCTAAACATAAACAGACAAAGTTAATCAAATAAATAATAATAATAATAAATAACACAAAGGAAGGGCCTTAAATATTATTATTATTATTATTATTAATATTATTAATATTATTATTAATAGTAATATTAATATTATTATTATTATTATTATTATTATTATTACTATTAATAATAATATTAATATTTATTATTATTATTATTATTATTAATATTATTATTAATAGTAATATTAATAATATTATTATTATTAATAATAGTATTATTGTTAATCGTATTAGCTATTATTAATATTATTAATATTATTAATATTATTATTAATATTATTATTAATAGTAATATTAATAATGTTATTATTATTATTATTATTACTATTAATAATAATATTAATATGTATTATTATTATTATTATTAATATTATTAATATTATTATTAATAGTAATATTAATAATATTATTATTATTAATAATAGTATTATTGTTAATCGTATTAGCTATTATTAATATTATTATTAATATTATTAATATTATTATTAATATTATTAATATTATTATTAATATTATTAATATTATTATTAATAGTAATATTATTGTTAATAGTATTAGCTATTCATATTATTAATAATATTATTAGTTATTAATATTATTAATATTATTATTATTAATAATAATAATATGAATATTGTTATTATTAATAATAATATTATTATTAATAATATTAGCTATTCCTATTATTATTAATATTATTAGCTATTCATATTATTAATCATATTATAAGCTTTTATTGTTATTAATATTGTTATTATTAATAATATTATTAATAATATGAATATTGTTATTAATATTGTTGTTAGTAGTTTCGGTTGGTTTCTAATGCAGGACGAGGCAGTTTTTCAGTCAGTAGCTTGACTCTTAAATAATAATATACACTATTTATTTTAGTTTGTTTCCAGAGAAATGAATTAAATATTAACATATAGGCTGACTGTATATATTTTTTACATTTTCTTTCACTCCTTAAGCTCTAGGAGACCTTACCACCCCGCTGTGAAACTTTGACAAACCCTTAATAAATAAACTGCAATGAACCCAAACAGTGAAACCCAGAGATTTGATTATTTCCTGTGAATACCGATCAGATATTTTTTGATTCAATTCTCTGTCTGTATTATGTATTTATTTATTAAACTTACTTAATTAGCTTCTTTCTTTCTCCCTGATTCTATAACACAGCTTGTGTTCAGCTCATCACAGTTTAGACATAATACACTATAATGTCATAAGTTCTTTATTAAGTCTGTGTCACTTAAATTTACTAATTACAAAACAAAAAATTGAGTTAACTTTACTCAAACATTTCAGTGTAATCAGTTTCAACAATTGTTTGGGTTAAATCAACGTATCTGGTTTTACAGACTCATATAAACAGTTTCATTTAGTTTAATTCACAGAAATAAATTTTGTTTTCTTACACTCATTAAAACCAAGAAGGCCTCACGAGCCCCTGTGAAGCTTTGTGGACCCCTCGTGGGGGTCCGACCCTCAGATTGGGAACCACTGATCCAAGGTATCACAGCTTTTAGCTTTTAGCTCTGAAATATCTATTTTCATAAAATTTTAATATGAAAAATGTTGATTAATGACAGAAATAAGGCAACATGAGCCAAGTGGATTTTCTCTTTTATTGTATTGCGTCCTGCAGTCAGACTGCAAGTGGTCCAAACACACACACACACACACACACAGACACACACACACCTGCATGTTAAACACATGGTCGTCTCCAGGGTGCGAACTACACCAGGATCTCGGCTCCTCTTAATAAAACATTTTAAGGCTGAACAATCACAAAATCTGGGGGATTTTTTTGCTTTCTTTCTAGTAAATTCAGATGCATGTTGAGATGTTTTTAGCCATTTTTTTGCAACCAAATTGCACAGAAAGTGAGAGAATTCATAAAAAAATGGGCTGAATTTCCGTTCCTGACTGATCAATATGCTGTATTTACATTTCTATTTTTGGATTATGTTTAAACTTATTATTGTTGAATGGTTTGTGCACGTTCACTTTAAAAAGTATACTTCTGTACTTTCCATCACAACTGAAGCGTGACAACCCAAAATCATTAACTTCATATCAGAATATATCAGAAAATATCAGAATATATCAGAAAATATCAGAATATATCAGAAAATATCAGAACATATCAGAACATATCAGAACACATCAGAATATATCAGAATATATCAGAATATGAGCCCCCTGAAAGCTGTGATATAGTTCTCACACTGGTTCTCTCTCTCTCACACACACACACACACACACACACACTCTCTGCTGGCTGTATTGTAGCCAGGGGTCAGAGGTCAGAGGTCATTAGTAGGATGTCTCTACCTGTGTCTACCTCACTAGAACAGCTGTATGTTCCTTTAAATTAGTCCTTCATTAGTAAAGTTCCAACATGGAGTCTCCACCAGGTGGTCCCTGGGGTCAGAGGTCACGCAGGGTCAGCTTGGGGTCACCTGCTGTGACATCACAAAGTTCAAAAAAGCCACAAAACGCAGGTAGGAAATAAGTCACGATTGGTTTCCACGGCAACATAGAGGACCACTGTACCGGCGAGCTGTCACCATGGTAACACACGTCTCTAACATCCCAGCCCGCTGATGGAGCCGATGCGGTCCATCTTCATCCCGAAGCATCCTCTCCCTCCGACCATCGACTTCCTGCTCCGCCTCCTCATTTTAGACTGACGCTGCAGGAAGTCAAGGAAGAACTGTGGGACCGCCTCCTGTCGGCCAGCCAATCCCCTCGCGGCTCCACGACCCGCAGCCAATGAGGAGGGAGGGGAGGAGGAGGAGGAGGAGGGGTCGGGGTGCCCGGCTGAGCCCTCTGCGATGTCATCGGAGAAGGGCGGGGCCAAGATGAGCGAGGAGAGACGAGAGCCGAACAGAGAGTGTAAGACCTGAGGAAACAGGAGGTCTAATATTAATTAATTAATCAATTCATCATTTTACATCCAGAACACAGCAGATTGTGATCATACATGACGAAGAACACGTGATCAATGCTTTCTACATTTTAAGATTCTTTATCGAAATACGATATCTGACCTACCAGAATGGAGACGAAGGATTGACTATATATATAATGACAGTTTATATAATGACAGTATATATAATGACTGTTTATATAATGACTGTTTATATATTGACAGTGTATATAATGACAGTATATATAATGACTGTTTATATAATGACTGTTTATATATTGACAGTGTATATAATGACTATATATATAATGACTATATAATGACAGTTTATATAATGACAGTATATATATTGACAGTGTATATAATGACTATATATATAATGACTATATAATGACAGTTTATATAATGACAGTATATATAATGACAGTATATATAATGACTATATATATAATGACAGTTTATATAATGACAGTATATATAATGACTGTTTATATAATGACAGTATATATAATGACAGTGTATATAATGACAGTATATATATTGACAGTGTATATAATGACTGTTTATATAATGACAGTGTATATAATGACAGTATATATATTGACAGTATATATAATGACTATATATATAATGACAGTTTATATAATGACAGTATATATAATGACTGTTTATATAATGACTGTTTATATAATGACAGTGTATATAATGACAGTATATATATTGACAGTATATATAATGACTATATATATAATGACAGTATATAATGACTGTTTATATAATGACAGTATATATAATGACAGTATATATAATGACTGTTTATATAATGACAGTGTATATAATGACTGTTTATATAATGACAGTATATATAATGACAGTGTATATAATGACAGTATATATATTGACAGTATATATAATGACTATATATATAATGACAGTATATAATGACTGTTTATATAATGACAGTATATATAATGACAGTATATATAATGACTGTTTATATAATGACAGTGTATATAATGACAGTATATATATTGACAGTGTATATAATGACAGTATATATATTGACAGTATATATATTGACAGTATATATAATGACTATATATATAATGACTATATAATGACAGTGTATATAATGACAGTATATATAATGACAGTATATATAATGACTATATATATAATGACTATATAATGACAGTTTATATAATGACAGTATATATAATGACAGTATATATAATGACTATATATATAATGACAGTTTATATAATGACAGTATATATAATGACTGTTTATATAATGACAGTATATATAATGACAGTGTATATAATGACAGTATATATATTGACAGTATATATAATGACTATATATATAATGACAGTATATAATGACTGTTTATATAATGACAGTATATATAATGACAGTATATATAATGACTGTTTATATAATGACAGTGTATATAATGACAGTATATATATTGACAGTGTATATAATGACAGTATATATAATGACAGTATATATATTGACAGTATATATAATGACTATATATATAATGACTATATATATAATGACTATATATATAATGACTATATATATAATGACTGTTTATATAATGACAGTGTATATAATGACAGTATATATATTGACAATATATATAATGACAGTATATATAATGACTATATATATAATGACAGTATATATAATGACAGTATATATATTGACAGTATATATAATGACAGTGTATATAATGACAGTGAATATAATGACAGTATATAATGACAGTGTATATAATGACAGTATATATAATGACAGTGTATATAATGACAGTATATATATTGATAGTATATATAATGACAGTATATATATTGACAGTATATATAATGACAGTATATATAATGACTATATATATAATGACAGTGTATATAATGACAGTATATATATTGATAGTATATATAATGACAGTATATATATTGACAGTATATATAATGACAGTATATATAATGACTATATATATAATGACAGTATATATAATGACAGTATATATATTGACAGTATATATAATGACAGTGTATATAATGACAGTGAATATAATGACAGTATATAATGACAGTGTATATAATGACAGTATATATAATGACAGTGTATATAATGACTGTTTATATAATGACAGTGTATAATGACAGTGTATATAATGACTGTTTATATAATGACAGTGTATATATTGACAGTATATATAATGACAGTATATATAATGACAGTGTATATAATGACTGTTTATATAATGACAGTATATAATGACAGTGTATATAATGATAGTATATAATGACAGTGTATATAATGACAGTATATAATGACAGTATATATAATGACAGTGTATATAATGACTGTTTATATAATGATAGTATATAATGACAGTATATATAATGACAGTGTATATAATGACAGTGTATATAATGACAGTATATAATGACAGTATATATAATGACAGTGTATATAATGACTGTTTATATAATGACAGTATATAATGACAGTATATATAATGACTGTTTATATAATGACAGTATATAATGACAGTATATATAATGACTGTATATATAATAACAGTGTATATAATGACAGTATATAATGACAGTGTATATAATGACTATATAATGACAGTGTATATAATGACAGTATATAATGACAGTATATATAATGACTGTATATATAATGACAGTGTATATAATGACTGTATATATAATGACTGTATATATAATGACAGTGTATATAATGACAGTATATATAATGACAGTATATATAATGACAGTATATATAATGACTGTTTATATAATGTGTCTTAAACCTGCATTCTCTGTGACAGCCAGCAGGGGCAGCTCCACTGGCTGCAAAATAAACTGATCCCATTCACTCTAATGTAGAAATGAGCCGACTTCTCAGTTGATTAATGAGCTCAGTAAACAGTTTTCTGATGAGTTTCTGGTCTCAGTCTCTAGTTTCAGTCTTCTTCCATACAGCATGATGTTCATTTAGTAACTGATGGTCCCATTTAGAGTAAAACAGACCATAAAGCAGGGTATGCTTTAGGGCGGGGCTACCTTGTGATTGACAGCTCATTCTCAGTGAGTCTGTCCAGCTCAACTTAAATGAAAAATACACTAAAAACAGGTGAGGAGGAAGAAAAAGGATGAGGATGAAGATGAGCTAAGGACATAAAATACCTGGAACTAATATAACTCAAAGAGAAGATGAAGAAGATAAAGTGGAGGAAGGTGAAGATGATGACGACCAAGATGAGAAAAACGATGAAGATCGGGGTGAGCTTGGAGATGATGATGATGAGGAAGCAACAACAAAAATGAAGACGATAACGGCTGCGATGATCACAACAAACGATGATGACGATGATGACGATGATAATGACGATGACATAAATGATGAAGATGGTCTCCACAGACCTTTGTGTCGTCTCGTTGAGGTGAAGGTCTCGACTCCACGGCGACGGTGAGGAAGAGGAGGAGGAGAGGAACGAAAGAGGAGGAGGACGAAGTAGCCATCTTTGTTTGGAGGAAAAATGAATAAAATAAGATTCAATAAATGACACGTCGCCATGGCAACAGATAATACTGCATTCTCATTGGCTGGAGGGTGTTCTGATAGGCTGAGCTGTGTCAGACTGCAGCGCCTCCTGCTGGTTGCAGGAGTAAACTGACTTTTGACACGGTAACTAAGTCTCACTGAAGCTGTTCTGGAGCTTTCAACCAAACTGATCCTTCTCAGCAGATGTGAAGTCAAACTTTGGAGTCAGAAGAACAAAAACCCTCTCTTTTGAAGAGTAAAACAGGAATCCCACAGGGATCAGTGTTGGGTCCGGTGCTCTTTAGTCTATTCATAAACGACCTTCCTGAATCATCAGATGTACGCAGATGATACAGTCATACACACTGATGGATACCTGGAAGCAACAGGCCGTTACTTTGAGTCAATCAAACACATGATGAGGACTTCCTGTCTCGTCCATGTTGACAACTAATCATTAAAAGATCACTTTAAAGACAGGAGAGGAGGAGGAGGAGGAGGAGGAGGAGGAGAACAGAGGAGAACTTTGAGCTGCCATGTTTTCTTAAAGCTCGAAAGGCTTTTTCCTCACAGGCCACCATTTTAAAAGAAATGTCAAGTCATGGATGTATAAAGAGAACTGGATACAGCGATGTAGACGGGCTCTGTATGTTCCTATGAATGCGATGTGATGGTAAATGAAGCCAAAAAAGTTTGAGTTGTACAAAATTACTCAGATCTTCCACATATGCTGCAGGTGCACCTGTATCCAGACTGGCTGCATCACCGCCTCATATATCCTTTAACCATAAGGCTTTACACCCAGCAGTGCCGGAAGAAGCCCAAACCATGTAATTACAGCGATGGTGTCGTGACGTGATGCACACTGACCCAAAAAGACCTTTTATCTAGGTTTATATTTTTAGACCACTATCAGAACGTGAGCAATTCAGTCCGATAACATTTTTAAAGTCTTGAAGATTTACAAGATTAAATCTTTTTATCTTTCTATCTTCAAGTTAACGGAGGGCTAAACAGAAAGTTAGCAGCTCAGCCAGCGGATGTCTGTAGTATATATTCATCTGGGGAATTTTACAGCAGGTAGTGGGTTTTTTTGGCTTCATGGTCCACTGAGCAGCTTCCATAGGAATGAACGGAGCGCCGTCTCCATCGCTGTATCCAGTCCTCTTTATACATCCATGACGGTCAGTAGCTCCTTCAAAACCTGCTACATTTTTGTTTTAATCTGTATCTTTTTGCTTTATTGCTGTAACATCATTGGATGATTGATTTTAAAGCCAGACACAGCAACCGGCATATTAGCTTTGTTTTTGTTTTAATCTGATTTCGGATTTATTGCTGAACAGATTTCCTCTGACAGAAACAGTCTGCAGCCATCAGAAGAGGAAGTTTGCGGTTTGGATTCAAGAGCAGCAGACATTGAGCCAGATCAGCCCCAGGAGGAGAGGTAGAGACCCGATAGGAGCCAGACTGGTCCAGCTTGGACTAATGTCCAGTCTGGACTTAAGGAACTAAAACAACGGGAAATCAGAGACTGTTAGGTCACATCGTTACAGAGACTCCATCAACATCCTGGATCCTGGGCCGAGTTCCTCTCCGACAGAGAGAATGAGAGGAGGCGGACTCGTTGTTTACATTGATGATGTTTGGTGCTCAAATGCAGTCCAACTGTATGGACACTGTTTGTTTTTATGGGAAGATGAAACCAGATTATCATCACTGTGTTGTTGCTGCTGTTTACATTCAACAAGACGCAAAAGATGAGCTGCAGAATTATTTCCTGTATATAAGGATATAAATAACTCATTTCACATTTCATATATGTGTTATTATATACATTTGTGACTTTTTAATTTTTCTGTGAGCAGCATGAAGGAACTACAGACTTTCATTATATTTTATTTTGTATAATTAAAAATACATTTCCTTAATTTCTTGAGCTTCTGCTATTTTTTTTTTAGACCATTAGATTATTTTATCTACATTGGATTACATTATTTTGTTATTGCTTTAGATTAGATTATGTCATACAAAAAATACAGAAATACAAAATCTGATCTGATACATTTAAACTGGATTCAAAATGTTTCATTATATTATATTATATCATGTTACATTAGATTAGAGTTATAAAAATTAAATTAGATTAAAAACGTTTTACATTCGATTTTTTAAATGTAGTAGACTAGATTAAATTAGAGGTAATATTAGATTTTTACATTTAATCCAGTTGAGGTGAAATTATATGAGATTATGTTTAACATTTTAAAATAAGATAATAATACATCTATTAATAACAGGGTTAGATGAGATCTATTTATATTTGATTAGATGACCTGATGAGGTTGCAGAGATCAGATGAAATCATGTTAAACTTTATTGATCTCTTCCTCCAGCAGCCGTATTAAAGACAAGTAAAGTACAAGATATTAAAGCAGAACAACTTACTGACACAGAGAGACGAAGAGAATAATCCAACAAAAAAAATTAAATTTAAAACAAAAATCCCAACAAAATCCAAAAGGTTCTGCTGGTCGTCGGTCAGTAATTTCAACTTCTCAAAGTTTTCTGTCAGCAAAGTTTTTCTTCAATAAAAATAATTGATTATTGGTCTCAGGTGACGTCGTAAAAGAGTTTTTGAATAAAGTTTGATGTGTTTGTGTCTGTCCTGTCTCAGTGTCAGGACGGGTCGGTGATCTACCCGCAGACCACAGACGCCGGCTTATATACGACTCACAGCTGTGATGTCACACATTCTTACCGCTGTTACCCCTGACGATGGGTCTCACACACACACACACACACACACACACACACACACACACACACACACACAGTGGATGGACAGACAAAGATAGTGTGACAGTGAAACAACAATCAGACATAAAGGTTAATGGAAAGAAAATCACAAATAAAAAATCGCTTTTTAATCATGAGGAGGTTCCAGTCATTGTTCAGACTGCTGAGCCTGGAACCCTCAAGGGGTTATAAGGTCCTGAGAAGAAGGAGATCTGTGAGGAGACTAAAATGGTCCTTGAGGAGGTTTCTGGAGTCCTTGATGAGGTTCCTGCAGTTCCTCAGGGGTTCCAGGGTTCCTCAGAAAATATCAGATGTATGTGAGGAGGCTTAAATGGTCAGAGGTTGCTGGTGTTCTTAACGGGTTTTAGGCCCATTGAGAAGGTATCAGAAGTCAGTGAGGAGGCTCACCTGGTCATTGAAGAGGTCCCAGGATCTAGTCCTTCCAAAGGTACTTGAGGATGCTAAAATAGTCCTTAATGATGTTCTGGGTGTTGTTGGGGGGTTTTACAAGTCCATAAGTCCTCTAAATGGTTTCCAGGGTCAATAAAGAGGTTCTTTGATGGAGTTCTAGGTTCTGCAAAGGTACCGGAAGTCACTGAGGACCCTCAAATGGTCCTTGAGGAGGTTTCTGGAGTCAATGATGAGGTTCCTGCAGTTCCTCATGGGTTCCAGGGTTCCTTAGAAAGTATCAGATGTATGTGAGGAGGCTTAAATGGTCCTTGAACAGGATACAAGATACCTTAACAGGTTTCAAGAGTTCTTGAGGAGGTTAGAGGACTGGCTGAATAGGTTCCTAGTGTCCTGTAGTGTCCTTGATGGGTTTAAAGGCCTTGAAGAAGTTATCAGAAGTCAGCAAGGAGGCTCAGATGGTCCTTGAGGAGGTTCCAGAGAGGTTGAACAACTTCCTGGAGCCCTTGAAGGAAGACCCTCAGTTTGGCTCTTTTATACTCAGGTTTTGGAAATGAAGAGATACTTAATGTTGATTATCCTCCTGTTATTGTTATTGTTATTGACACGTCAGCTCCTATAATGTTTGAGTCCAACTCAAACTGACGAAACCGATTGCCTTAAACTGCTCAAATAATTTATGCTTGAAAACATATTTGGTTTGAAGAGAAGTAACTCAAGTACTTAAAGTTGAGGTAACTTCAATTAAGTTAATTGTACCAATAACATCCAATTAACTGAAGTTACACTTTAACTAACTTTACAAACTTAATGTGTGTCTTCTTTATATAAATGTTGAATTTACTAAAATTATACAAAATCATTTACAAATTATAACATTATCTCTCAAAACCACTGATGTACCATAAAAACAATTTGTAATGAATTAATTATCCAAGGGTTGCTAATTGATTTTCTGTGTTTGTTCAAACATCAAATCTTTACATTTTGGAGGATCATTGAGAATTATTTGGATAAATGGTAAGCTATACAGCATTATAATGTTAACACTTTTATAAGGATATATAACTGAACTTAAAATACTCAAAACAACTGAATTGCTTCAACAATTTGGATTAATTTATGTAACTTACTTACTTTTATTAAAATGTGGTTTTAGAGTGTCACTGCTCTGACCTCCACACCTGCTCATTATTTCACAGTGGATCAATACTCGCAGTAATTAATGCAACTGTTAACCATCTCAGACTCATGTTGAATCATTACAGATGAACCAAAGATATCTAAATACACTCTAATACTGTTAATACTTCTCCTCTCTCTGTCTCTCTCTGTCTGTCTCTGTCTGTCTCTGTATCTCTCTCTCTCTCTCTCTCTCTCTCTCTCTGTCTCTCAGACCCTCATGACCCCTGACCTCGGTCATCACGCCCCCTCGTAAACTGTCACCGCGGTGACTGGGTCGTCGTTAGCAACTATTTCCTGTGGAAGGGGGCGGAGCTACAGAGGTTCACATCGTCCAAAGGATAGGTGTTTGTGTGTGTGTGTGTGTGTGTGTGTGTGTGTGTGTGTGTGTGTGTGTGTTTAATGACCCCCCGTCGTCTTTGTGCCAGTCAGACAAACCCCGCCCCCCATTCAGCCTCTGACGTCATCAACCACGCATATAAAACACACACACACACACACACACACACACACACACACACACGAAGAATGGCTCATCAATCACCTTATTAGAGAGAAAGAGGTCACTGATCACAAAAACACACGTTATTATCCCTGTGTGTGTGTGCGCGCGTGTGTGACGCACACAACATTCCTGCCCCCCCACACAGTGCACACACACACACACACACACACACACACACACACACACACACACACACACACACACACACACACGTCCTCATGAACCAGGTTAGACCACAAAGTTCCAGGGTGCCTTGAGGAGTACCAGGCGTCCGCAAGAAGACACTAATGAAGAGACTCTGATGGTTCTCCATGAGGTTCCAGGAGGTTCCAGGAGGTTCCATGAGTCCTTGAGGGAGAACACCAAAAGTACTGAATGTAACAAATACATCGTTGTAAAGCCGGTTTTAATTAGTCTGAGTCAGTTTCAGTCAGTTTTGGACTCATTCAGCAGCGGTGGTTTGGTTTTGTTCTGACCGTGCTGCTGAGACTCATGGGTAATGTAGTTTGTAAAATCAGTCAACAGAAGTGTAACTGTGGAGTCCATCAAAGGATCATTCTTTGCTCTTATTTCGGTAGTTCATCTTATCTTGTTTACCTGAGCCCAGTGCATTCTGGGACATGTGGAGGGTCCTGAGTTCAGATGATCAGTCTGTGTCCGTCTGCCAATACTATCCAACTTCCTGTCTGCGGCCTTCAGCTCATTGGTTCCTACTGAACACACACACACAGAAACAGACAGAAAGTTTCACTTCAAACTGAAACATTTTCACACAGGTTGTATTTTGTGTCGCTGCTTCAGTCAAACCTGTCACACGGCTGCTGCTCGTCTCCAGGCAACAGACTGCCTTCACCCCGAACCGCCTCGACCAATCAGCATTGACGTCACTCCACTGTGTGTGTGTGTGTGTGTGTGTGTGTGTGTGTGTGTGTGTGTGGACATGAATAATGGACCGAGTGTGAGAAATCTTCTGTTTTATGTCGCTATTTCACAAAAGTTTGTTTCCTCTTTCACAAACGAGCTAAAGTTAGATCAGCGTCAGGATGAAGTCATTTATTTCCATCAGCACTGAGACGAGGAGCTGATGGAAACTCCCATCATTAAATATAAATTCAATTTAAATCTGGCAGTAAATGTTGCTTTCATAAATGTAAAAACAACTATAATAATATTTTGATTATTAATAATAATAATAACATTTATTAACAAGGAGGAGGAGCCAAGATGGCGCTGTTGTAGCACATCTGTTGTAACATCTGCTTTGGATTTTATTTATTTTACGTTTGTAACCATTAAAGTAATAAATAAATTAGTAATAGTATTTCTTATTTTCATAAAGTAACTATATATCGCTGTAAGTGACAGAAAAAGAACCCTGAATCCTTGAATATTGAGGAGCGTCTGTGGTGACACATGTTTAATGTATTGTAATAATTCATTAACGTATACCGTCCATATTGTGCAAGCTCAGCAACACAAAGAGATTGTAAGACTGCTTGAGGCAGAACTGCTACAGTTCAATGATTTTATTTCAACACAGGGACTTTGTTGCGAGGCAGATATTCAAAACTGGCCGGAAAACAGACGCAGGAAGTTTCACAAGAGACATAAGGAAATAACTAAACTAAAACAATAACATCTTCAGGATCCTGACAAGGACCAAAGTACACATGAAGGTAACATGTAATAAAGATCAATACAGATAGATTTTCGGGTGTCACTCTGGTTCGAAAACAGATTTTAACACTTTCTGACACTTAATACATGATGATGAAGATTAAAGCTGCAGTTTCAATAAAGTGTCTTTGAACTGATGTTTTTAATCTCTTCTTCCATCACTGCAGCTCCGGATAACAAGAGGAGAAATAAAAACTGAAGTGAGGGTGTAGACTGTGTGAGATAGTTAGCGGATGGAGTCAGAGCGTCCTCCTGTCTTCATCTGTCGTCCATCAGCTTCTTCACCTCCATTTTCTCACTGATCCAAAGTCAGATCAGATCAATAATCAAAGATTGATCAACAGACCAATCAAACAGATCGATCAGCCATCAGAGGAGTTGGATCAATGGAGCTGCTTCTGTTCCTGGTTCTCCCTGCAGAGGAGACAGAGGACAGTCAGACACAGACAGACACAGAGACAGCTGACCTCTGACCTGTATCTACAGCACTGACCTCTGACCTGTATCTACAGCACTAATCTCTGACCTGTATCTCCCTGCAGAGGAGACAGAGGACAGTCAGACACAGACAGACACAGAGACAGCTGACCTCTGACCTGTATCTACAGCACTGACCTCTGACCTGTATCTACAGCACTAATCTCTGACCTGTATCTACAGTACTGACCTCTGACCTGTATCTACAGTACTGACCAATGACCTGTATCTACAGCACTAATCTCTGACCTGTATCTACAGTACTGACCTCTGACCTGTATCTACAGCACTATTCTCTGATCTGTATCTTCACACTGACCTCTGACATTGAGTTGCACTGTTTTCTGTCTAGTGATGTCCTTGTTGTCAAGAATGCAGCAGTATCTTCCTGTGTCTCTCTCTTTGGGGGATTTCAGGGTCAGACTGAGGTCTCCAGTTTTCAGCAGGTCTTCCTTCATCTCTGTTTGATCTTTGTAATATAGGTTCTGTTTTTCTGGCCGGTCAGAACTGTTCTGAGACACATGGACCATCATCATGGGTTCGGGTTCATAGCGGCTCCACTCCACTCTAGCCTTCTCAGGCAGGTTAGCTGTGGTCTTAAAGGGCAGTTGGACAGACTCCGCCCCCTCCTCCACCTCCACCTGACAGACTGAGAGAACAACAAACCCCAACATCAGCTGTACAGACAGCAGCAGCAGTTTGTAATAACTTTATTGACTGATTACAAAGTTGTAGAGAACCCTGAAGGACAGAACCAGATGAGAGCAGCAGGTAACAGGGGACAGAAATATAGGAACTAAAAGCAGGTTTTCAAGCTGTTGGACATGTTGTGATTTTCTGTCCATGTGCTGCTTCACAGTAATGTCTCATCTCAGTGTTGAACTGCTGTCTGTTGCTCAAATGTAACAGTGAATGAATCTTAGTTCCACACAGCATTTCAAACACATGTTCAACATCAAAACACTGATCGAACAAATATTATTATTTATCATTATCTTTGATCATTTTGAATGAATTGATCATTAATTCTGGACTGAACTCTGACCTGTATCTACAGCACTGACCTCTGACCCAGAGCTTCACTTGTTTCTTCATCAGGATCTTTCTCTCCCTGTAGACGGTGCAGGTGTAGGTGTCATTGTCTGTGTCTGTGGGGTATTTCAGGGTCAGACCGAGGTCTCCAGGTTTCAGGTCTTTCTTCATCTCTGTTCGGGCTCTGTAACGACTGTACTGTTCGTCAGGCTGATCAGAGCCGTTCTGATACACATGGACCTTCCTGACATTTCTGTCCGTCCACTCCACTGTGACGTCCTCAGGCAGGTGAACTGTGGTTTTGCAGGGCAGCAGGACAGACTCCACCCTTGAATCCACCTCCACCTGGTAGACTGAGAGGACACACAGTCACACCTGATGTCTGTCTTTTGTTTTGGAAATGTTATCTGCTGCCTGTAGGAATGCTTTAGGCAGGTATGAAGGCAAGTTTAAAATATATATATATTAAACTTAAAGGTGCTTCATATAGAAAGTCAATTCAAAGTGTATATCATAAAGCATAAAAAAAGAAAATATATAAGGTAGTAAAAAAATAACCTTTGACCTGTATCTACAGCACTGACCTCTGACCTGGAGCTCCACTTGCTTCTTCATCAGGATCTTTCTCTCCCCGTTGTAGACAATGCAGGTGTAGGTGTTACTGTCTCTGTCTGTGGGGTATTTCAGGGTCAGACTGAGGTCTCCAGGTTCCAGCAGGTTTCTCTTCATCTCTGTTCGGTCTCTGTAATCCTGGATCTGTTCTTCAGGCTGATCAGGGCCATTCTGATACACATGGACCTTCCAGTTGTCACTGTCCGTCCACTCCACTGTGACGTCCTCAGGCAGGTGAACTGTGGTTTTGCAGGGCAGCAGGACAGACTCCACCCCTGAATCCACCTCCACCTGGTAGACTGAGAGGACAACAAACCATAACATTAACTGCACAAACAGCAGCAGGAACTCTGGCGGTAACAATACCTCACTGTCCCATCCTTATTTTATAATCCCAGACCCCTGCCTCAACAGTTAAGGAGTTAGTATAGTAAAAGATGATAACCATTGGCATTATGGGTTGTGTAGCAGTGACATACCTGACATAAAATACTGCCGGAAATGCACTAAAAGCATCCCAGAAACAATAAGACCAAGAGCTAGGAGAACCAGGAGAGCTGTGGCCCAGGATGGAAATCGTTCTGTGGAAACAGAAACAGAAATAATATGATTTCTGACCTCTGACCTGTATCTACAGTACTGACCTCTAGATTGAATAGCATCAGATAAGTTATGGTGTAAAGTTGACATTAGAAGTTCAGTAACTATTAGTTAGTTTGTAACTAAAATGATTGCACCACATAGCTTGGGGCATTGCTAGTTTGGACATAAAGTCATAACTAAGGCATGTCAACGAGTTCCATTGTCATGGCTACTATGCACATTGGCTTTCTTACTGGCATGAGCCACTTGGCATTGTAGCACATCACAGTAAACTATAACGATATTGAAATATATCAATGAATTAGGTCTCTACTTGATTACTGTGTCGCAAAATGGCTGCAATCAATGGAAAAATTATGTGTGAACTCTGAACTGTATCTACAGTAGGTTTTAGGGTTTGTTGCTGACCTTTGACCTGCAGCTGTATGTCTCTCACTCTCTGTTGTCCTCCTAATGCTCTGACGGTGCAGGTGTAGGTGCCGCTGTCAGAGAGGCAGAGTTTTGTCAGATTGAGGCTGAGGTCTCCAGTTTCCAGAGCGTCAGCCATCATGGATGTTCGGCCGCTGTAAAGCTGGTTTTGGTCTTTAAGTTCATCACCTTCCTGCTGACGCTGGTGGACGGTTGGAGGATTGAGATCGTAGCGGCTCCACACCACTGAGGGGTTGTCCAGTTCAAAAGTTTGAAACTCACAGGGCAGCAGGACAAACTCATCCCCCTCATACAGCTCCACAGCTGAGGCATGCTGGGAAACTGTGAGGTCAGAGAGATTCAATCAGCCCTATTTCAGGTCTTATTGCTTCTGGATCCTCAATCTGCTCCTGTTTGTGATCGGACTCACAAACAGGAGCAATAACAGAACAAACTGATAGACTGACTTTATTGATCCAACATGGTGTTTAAATGAGTGTGTTAGGATCATTAATACTATTGGTAATATAAGCTATAAGAATGTGAACAACCTCCAGGGATATAATCCTGAAGAACAGAACTGAGGACAGTCTGACTGTACAGTCTTCTACATTCATCATGATTTACACAAACATTGAAAATATGCTGCCTTTAATATGTTCTTCATGTTTTTATTGGAGTTTAAACAGACTAATGAAGTGAAGATGATAGAAATACAGATTAAAGACATGATGTTGGACTAATGATCAGATCAGAGGGAGGAAGGTTATCTTACCGTGCACGAGGATCACAAACACCACAAACATCTTCATCTTCCTGTAAAAACTACAACAACCACAAAGTCCTCATTAGTCTGCTTCTCACTAAACGAACACTTGAAAAACACATTCAGTTCACAGCCAGTTGTCACTTTCCTCCTCCTGATAATCTGCCGACACTGTGAGGAGAAAACTTTAGTTTCACTTTAAACTGTTTCCAGAGAAGCAGCCGTTGGAATGGAAAGAAACCGGCTGAGCAGCTTTCACACAAACATTATTGGTTGATTGGCAATAACTCCCAAAACGACATATATGAGCGGTGGAGAGTAGTGCAGTGACAGACACACTGGACCTGAAGGACGTTAAACATTTGGGTTTTAGTCCAGTTGACAATAATGTGAACAGAGAAATGTTTGATGTTATAAATGTACAGTCAGGGTCTCCAACATTTAGAAACTTATGTTGTTCAAACAAATTACAATAAGAGAGAATCAACATTACATTGTGAATTCATTTTTTATAAAACTTGAAAAACACATTCAGGACATCAGTTCACAGTCAGTCCTCCTGATAATCTACTGACAGAGAAAAATGTACTTTAGATTTATATTTTAACTTTGTTTGACTCCAGCCCCGTGATATACATTATAATCAATACAGTTATATCAAAAATCTGTGACGACTAGTTGTCTAGGAAATTCATTAGCCGGGGGAAGTTGCAGCATTGAGCTGCTGTTTTATTTTGTTTGCTGGTTTATCAAGGAAAGGGATTCTTTGGTTTGTTTGGTCTTGGTGGGTCTTAACTTACTGAATTACTACCTTTTGGTAGGAATAAATGATTTCTCATTCAGACTTTGGGGGACCAGGAGGAAGTGACCTTTTATGTTGTGTTAGCCGATACCAACCACTGAGAGCAGATCAGGACAACCCGGCAGAAACACCAACACACAGTAAAATAAAGTCAGACATGTTTTATTCTTTAGTCTTTATTGTGTTTTATATAGAAAACATCATTAATGGAATTATAGCTAAGACCCTCTGACCTCTCACCCCCAGCTACAGGGGGGAGGGCCTTCAGGGGTCGTCAGTTGTCAGTCAGTTGTCACGGTGACAGATACGAAGTCAGGACAGAGCTTTAGTTGATCTTTGGGTGGCGGTAGTCTTTTCCGGCGAACTTGGCCTTGCTTCCGAGCTCCTCCTCGATCCTGCAGGTCAGAGGTCAGAGAGGTCAGAGGTTAGAGAGGACAGAGGTCAGGTCAGCTGAGTTTTTATTCCCCTGTAAACTCTTAGAATCAACAACGCTGCATTCACTCGTCAATTATAATAAAGTACTTGGAAAAAAATACAACTCTGTGCTTTTATTTTGAAGACTAGCATTAAGTAAATGTAAATAACAGGAAGTTCTTACCTCATCAGCTGATTGTATTTGGCCAAACGCTCTGACCTGCAGGGAGCACCGGTCTTAATCTGAGAGAGAGACAGGTAGAGGGAGAGAGGGAGAGAGAGACAGGTAGAGAGAGAGAGAGAGACAGGCAGAGGGAGAGAGAGACAGGTAGAGGGAGAGAGAGACACAGGTAGAGGGAGAGAGAGACACAGGTAGAGGGAGAGAGAGAGAGAGACAGGTAGAGGGAGAGAGGGAGAGAGTTGGTCATTGTACAGTTGTTTTTATTGTTGTTGTTGTTGTTGTTGTTGTTTTGTTTTCATCCATGTAGTGATCTACCTGTCTGTCTACTTATCTGCCTTCATTGCTGTCTGACTTTCCGTCTAACTGCCTGTCTCTCTGTTTACCTAACCGCATAAATTCAGTTTCTCTCTGTCCACCTGTTGTCTCTTCACCTGTCTCTCTACTGGTCTGCTTGTCTGTCTACCTGACTCTCTGTCAACCTGACTGTCTACCTGTCTGTGTGACTGTCTACCTGACTGTCTGTGTGACTGTCTACCTGTCTGTCTGACTGACTGTCTGTTTACCTGTCCGGTGCAGAGTCCGACCACCAGGTCAGAGATGAAGGTGTCTTCAGTCTCTCCGGAGCGATGGCTGACCATCACACCCCAACCACTGCTCTGAGCCAGCTTACACCTGAGAGACAGACAGGTAGAGAGGGTGAGACAGGGACAAAGACATATAACCAGAGAGGGAGACAGCAGAAACACTGTAAGTTGAATTTGAACTCAAACACAGTCAATTAATTAATGGCTCAGACAGACAGACAGCTGTCTTACGCCTGGATGGACTCGGTCACAGAGCCGATCTGGTTGACTTTGAGCAGCAGACAGTTGCAGGCCTTCTTGTCCACCGCCTGCTGGATCCTCTTCGGATTGGTCACCGTCAGGTCGTCTCCTACGATCTGATTGGTTAAAACACACACACAAACACAGGTTTTTACCTTCTACCTGAGCAGAGTGACTAGAAGCACCTGTGGTCCTTCCTGATTGTGAGGGCCTTTAAATTACGCTCTATTTCTTGTGGTGTCCAAATAACAGATTATAGAAATATAATCTGTCTGCCCGTCTTTCTCACCTGGATGTCTGTAGAGGCGGTGAACTTGGCCCAGTTCTCCCAGTCATCCTGGTCAAATGGATCCTCAATGGACTGGACTGGAGAGAGAAAGAGAGACAGTGATAAAGTTGAGTTGTACTGCCCCCTACAGGCTGGAAGCAGCTACAGAATTTATGTATTCATGAAATTAATCCAGTGCAGAACTTCCACTGGAAATCTGCAGATTAAACACTGGAGACCAAACCCTTTAATTGTATGTATGCAATATGTGTGGAATTATTTTATAGTTTGCTGCTATAATTTGTCTTATTGATAACTTATTAGGTTATTAAGGTTTAAAGACTCCACGGAGATGTGCTGATATCTCAGCCAGCGTTAACAATAAATACTCTAAATACTACTAATATTTAAAAATGTTCAGTATTTCATTTACTGCTGATCTTTTATCCGTGTTACCTGCTCACTACTGACCTCCGCCCAGGGACTACAGATGAAAATGAGCTTTTAGCTATATCTGGTACATTACATGTATTATGCACTGTCCTTTCTTAAATACACATAAAATAATAAATTAAAATACTAAACAACTTTTTATAATGAGGACATCTACTGATTATAAGTTATCATGAGTTCTACATTGCATTAAAGTTTATGGAGGCCCATTTACTCCCATTGTATCTATAACCCAACTGATACAGGAAGGTCAATGAGTTTTACATTGATTATTAATGTGTTACCGGGGTAGCTCTTGATGAAGCTGCGGTACAGGTCTCCCAGCTTCTCTCCGCTGATGTGTCTGGCCGGGTCGTCGGGGGACTTGAAGTCCAGGTCGTACTTTCCACTGCGGAAGAACTCGGAGGCCGCCACGTCCATTCCGATGATGATCTTGTCGGGGTAACCGGCCTTCTCGATGGCCGACTTCAGCAGCTCCAGAGCTGCGTGAAGAGGAAACGAGTGTTATTGATCGCTGTGTGAGTGATAATGATCACAGTCTATACTGACAGAGCCTTCACTGTCTGATCAACAGCCTGCGTTGGAAAACTACCAAAGAACTGATGAGACGAAAACTGAATCTTTTAAAAAAGAAGTCTATGGAGTCTGTATGATTGTTAAAACTGATAAAAATACAGAATACAGACAGAGAATTAAATAAAAATATCAGGAAAACTCATCTCTGATCAATATTCACAGCTCATAATTCATCCAAACTTCCTGCAGTTACTGAGTTCACTGTTTGTGTTCAGTTTATTGATGTTTGTTGTTATTGATCAGTAGAATATGAAATATACAGAAAATATAGTCAGTTTACTCACTGATGCAACAAGTTGGGAACAAGTTGCATTATTATTAATAACAGATAAGATTTGTTTTAATGAATTATATGATATAACAAACCCCTAATGTAGCACAATACTCAATAGATCAGACAGACGGGTAGATGTCTCACCCTCATTGTTCTCCAGGATGTTGGGGGCGAAGCCTCCCTCGTCTCCCACGTTGGTGGCGTCTTTGCCGTACTTTGCCTTGATCACATTCTTGAGGTTGTGGTACACCTCAGCTCCGATCCTCATGGCCTCGTGGAAGTTGGCGGCTCCAACTGGAAGAATCATGAACTCCTGCATGGCCAGTTTGTTTCCAGCATGGCTGCCTCCGTTAATGACGTTAAAGGCCTGCAGAGGAGGAGGAGGAGGAGGAGGTCGTTTATACCGGTGTCTCCCACTTTTTAAAAATAACGAACCACGGCGACACAATTAATTTGTACATAAATTATTGTTCCTGAGCATTTTCACTGTTGTTTCTGCATCACGTCAGATTGTCTTGAACAGGTAAAGCAGCCATTTTGAAGAAATATACATTTGATAATCACAACTCCATAATCAGTAAAACAATATAATTATAAATGATAATAGGAGCATTTAGCACGAGGAAGAAATTCTGAAAATTTCATTCATTTCCAGTTTTTGGAAATCACTTAAACTCAATACTCATTTGGACATGTAACTATCCACATATGCTAACTAAAATTAGGACTCAGTGTTTTTAACTAGCACTTTGTGCCCCTCCCACCCACCAGAAGCCCCTCCCACTCACGGGAACAGGAAGTATGACATCTTTGTGTCCGGCGAGGTCGGCAATGTGGCGGTAGAGAGGAACTCCCTTCTCTGCTGCTCCGGCCTTACAGACGGCCAGCGACACGCCCAGGATGGCGTTAGCACCAAACTGAGCTGTAGAGAGAGACAGACAGGTTAAAAAGAGACAGACAGAGGGACAGACAGGAAGACAGACAGCTCCTTACATTTGTTCTCAGTGCCGTCCAGCTCCAGCATGAACTTGTCGATCTTCTCCTGCTCGACAACACTGAAGTTCTGGAGAGACAGGAAGTGTACAGTCAGTATAAAACGCTGTCGAACTAACAGCAGATATTATAAAACAACACGTTAACTTAAACCTCCACACACTCAACACCATGAAATAAAAACTCTACATAAACTGGTTTATATCACCATCCTCGCTTCCTTATAAAGCTTTTAAAGATCTGTTTTTATTTCAGTTTATGAATCATCAAATTCTCAACGATCCCCTGAAGTGTAAAAATGTGATGTTAGTCACATCGTCACAGTCACTTTGATTTTAATGTTGTTTTAACGACGTATTGATCGTTTGATACCTTTGCAATCAGCTTGGGGGCGATGTCCTTGTTCACGTGATCCACCGCCTTTATTGTACCTGAAGGGGAAAAGAAAACCGGGTGAGATCCAGACGGGCGTGAAGGAAAATGCTTCAGGGAGTTGAACCCTCAGTCTGTTACTGCCTTGCTCCTACCTTTGCCCAGGTAACGGCTCTTGTCTCCATCGCGAAGCTCCAGAGCTTCATGGACTCCAGTTGATGCACCGCTGGGAACAGCTGCCCTGAACAGACCTGAGAGACAGACAGACAGACAGACAGAGTCGGTTATTGAAGGTTGATATAAGAGGTAAGTTAGCAATTTCCCTCTAACTGAAGCTTTTCGGTTCTCACCCTTAGCTGTCCACAGGTCCACCTCCACTGTGGGGTTTCCTCTGGAGTCCAGAATCTCCCGAGCGTGAATCTTAGTGATAGACATCCTGACTGATGGAGGGGACAGAGAATGTAATAAATGAGATTCAGCCAGGAAGGAGACACTCGGACTGTTTACGCTAATACAAAGACAGAGTGCAGGATCTGCAGTTTACGGGGCAGAGGTCAAAGAAGTGGTCATGATTTTTAAGTCATTAAATGACTCAGAGAATACATATTTAATAATAATAATACAATAATTAATAATTTAATACACATTTGGCTGGACAGTCACAAAACTTTGAGTCAGTGTAGTTACTGCCGTTAGCCTGTGGGGGGCAGTATACTCCTGCACTGCTCACACTGAGTGGAGTAAAGGAGCCTGGGTGTCAGTTTAAACTGGATGTCCTTGTTTTATAGAAAGAGACAGAACTGATAAAGTTTATGTGAATTCATCAGACAGACAGACAGACAGACAGACAGACAGACAGACAGACAGTGACCTTGAAGACAACCAATGATGTGTCAGACCTGCTGCAGAGATCCTCTGTAACGCCATGATGCCTCCATGAAGGCAGGCACGTCCCCTATATCAGCCATTCCCCGCCCCCCCTCCCACAAAGCCAATCAGAGAGCTCCCCCTGTGACAGGCGGTCAGTGGGACCAATAGGAGAGCGGGAGAGACCATCGTCCCCACAGAGAGGTGGTGGATTAAAGATACTCCCTTATCTTCCTCTGAGGGTTATAAATACAGTAAGTCTGCAGCGTGAGACCCTTTAACCTTTTCCCTGACCTTTCTGCAGAGGTCATGACTTCCTCCTTGCTGTTATAGAATTACAGCACATACACTTATTAATGCTCCTGACATTTGACGAGGTATCTGTGACTGAGAACATGATATCAGCCTCTTGAGGCTCTCTGATAACTGAAGGTCTGTCCCTGTCTGCTGTGACTGAACTACATCATTAACTCTACCACTGAGCTCCTGAAATCCCAGAACAACAGTAACCCATAGCTCATATATATATATATATATATATATATCCCATAAATATAATCTTCAGCTTCAGATGAACACAGTTTTAGCATTCTCAGCTATGATAAGCAGTATTAGCAGTAGCAGCATATTACCAACAGTTTGAGCTATAATAGAAACATTATTAGAGATATTACTGACTTTGAGAACTTTAAAGGACCTGCGTATAGGACAAACTGAACACTCCTCGCGTCTCTATCTGACAACCTGATACTGAGAACGGGCTGTGAAGTGTGCAGGAGAAACTACACTGAAAGTCCCTATCTAGGTTCTGGGTTACCATAGAGACAGGGTGGCTCATGGGTATTTTCAGGTGACATTAACAGTGCTAACAATGCTAACAGTGCTAACAGTGCTTTATGTCTGAGTTATGTAACTGTCCATGCATGTGTGTCTCTGTGAGTGTGAGTGTGTCTCTGTGAGTGTGAGTGTGTGTGTGTGTGTGTGTGTGTGTGTGTGTGTGTGTGTGTGTGTGTGTGTGTGTGTGAGTGTGTGTGTGTGTGTGTGCAGTGATGTCCGGTCATACCAGCAGAACAACAGCTGAGTGGATACAGTACACTTGAGACCTCTTATGGCCTTTACTTAGACTTTACTGTACACACACACACACTCACACTCACACACACACACACACACTCTCTCACATCAGGACAAACTGAACATACAAACACTGAAACACTGATATTGAGCAGAAACTGTTCCTTTAACTACTTCAAACACTAGTACGGCTCACAACTACCACTGATAATCAAACTACTACTAACACTGCTAACACTGCTAACACTGGTCCTATTGTTCTTATTAAACAAGGATATGATATAGATGCTACTTTATGAATATTAATGTGTAATTCAGTGTAATGTGTCATAATGAACCAAATCAGTTCATCCCTTAAGATTGTCTGTGTGTCTGTCTGTCTGTGTGTGTGTGTCTGTGTCTGTGTGTCTGTCTGTCTGTCTGTCTGTCTGTCTGTGTGTCTGTGTGTGTGTGTCTGTCTGTGTGTCTGTGTGTCTGTCTGTTTGTCTGTGTGTGTGTGTGTCTGTGTCTGTCTGTCTGTCTGTGTGTCTGTGTGTGTGTGTCTGTGTGTCTGTCTGTCTGTCTGTGTGTCTGTATGTGTGTGTGTCTGTGTCTGTCTGTCTGTGTGTGTGTCTGTGTCTGTCTGTCTGTCTGTGTGTCTGTCTGTCTGTCTGTGTGTCTGTGTGTCTGTCTGTCTGTGTGTGTGTGTGTCTGTCTGTCTGTCTGTCTGTGTGTCTGTGTGTGTCTGTGTCTGTGTCTGTGTGTCTGTCTGTCTGTGTGTGTGTGTGTGTCTGTATGTGTGTGTGTGTGTCTGTCTGTCTGTGTGTCTGTGTGTGTCTGTGTCTGTGTGTGTGTCTGTGTGTCTGTCTGTCTGTGTGTGTGTCTGTCTGTCTGTCTGTCTGTGTGTCTGTCTGTGTGTCTGTCTGTCTGTCTGTCTGTGTCTGTGTCTGTGTGTCTGTCTGTCTGTGTGTGTCTGTCTGTGTGTGTGTGTCTGTGTGTCTGTCTGTGTGTCTGTCTGTGTGTCTGTCTGTCTGTGTGGACTTTGCTCTTCATGCTGTTTGTTTGACCTTCAGGCAGCAGAAAGTCGAAGCTCTGGAGGTTTTTTAGTCTTTCAGTTCAGATAAAGACTCGCAGTAAGATTTGGGGGAACAAACATGAGTGTATGAAAATATCTGATTTCACTGTCAGCGTGCCAAACTTCCTCTGAAAGCACCTGCAAAAAACATTCTTTCAAAATACAACAAAGAAAACAGGTCAGCAGACTAAAAGCAGTTTGAGACCAGAGACACAAACAGGAAGTAGTTTTCCTGTAAAATAAACAGAGGTTCGTCCACGTTGGGCCCAACCAGAACTTAGAACTCCCTCCGGATTCAGCCTACCTGAGTCCTGTTCTTGGAGAAGAAAGGGGGGTGTCCTCTTTGGCCGTCTGTCTGTCTGCCTGACTGTCCGACTGACGTGGAAAGTGTCCGTCTGTCACACTGCAGGGTTTTTATAGACACTCCCTGGCAGGGGGAGGAGGCCGGGTAGAGAGGCAGGGAGCGTCTGAAAAGGGACAGGACTGCAGGAAAACACAAAAACCTGATCCAGGCACTAATATTATCACTATTATAGGACTAATCATACTGTAAAATATAGCAACAGCATAATTCATATATAATCTAAGTTCAGGACACACAACCATAGATTTTATACTTTAAGTAGTGAGGAAACCTCCATTGTGCAATATGAATATGTATTTACCATATTAGTAGAATCAGGATTAATGGTCGTAGCTGTGTTAACAATAGTTTTATCTGTACGGATTCTGTACGGACTCAGTATGGTCTCTGTACGGGCTCAGTACAGGTTGTGTACGGACTCTGTACGGACTCTGTACGGACTCTGTATGGACTCGTATTCTGTCCTCCCTGTTATCATCAGAGATATTATGTGCGTGCTGGCTGTTCTTCAGCTGCACCGTTGAACCGTGCAGTGATTCCATATCTGATGCTGCTCTCTGGGATCAGCGGGTAAAACATCAGCATGATCTGGCTGCTCACTCCGTACACTCTCTGCTGCAGTCGGTTGCACAGCAGATCACTGTGTGTCTATGTGGACGTCTCTGGGTGATTTTCTGGGTTTTGGTGACTCCTGATCACTCACTTACCTCAGGTCAGGAGTAGTTGCTGCAGTATTAATTCTTTGTCTTGGTAATAGAAGCAGATTAGAAGTACTAGCAGCTGCATTGTAGGAGTATTAGCAGAAGTAGGAACAATGTAGATTGAAATGTGAGATTCTTTATCGGTGATGTACATTTTATCAGGCATCATCACTCCTCGACCTTCAGGAACTAAATATTAGAGCAGCCAAAATCAGACTTTTAAAGCACTAATAGATAAATAAAACCCCACAAACATTGTATGAAAGGTAAATGAAGCTCAGCTTAGTTAATGACAGTCAGTGAGTGTGTGTGTGTCCAACTCTTCCTCACAGGTTAGTTAATGATGTTACTGAGTCAATGTGAGCAGATTGTGTCTGTAGACTGAAGAGAATCAGAGTCTCACTGATGGTGGAAATAAAGGTTTTACTTCCTTAAAACAGCCATTTTTTGAATGGAGTTTGGTGTGACAGTGTGGAGCAGAGGGGATTTGAACCTTAATAATTCCCATAAACTGAGCTGACCTACCTGTATTATTAGTGTTATTGTAGTATTATATTTATATATTCTGTGTATTATTAGTGTTATTATAGTATGTGTATATATTCTGTATATTATTAGTGTTATTATAGTATTATATGTATATATTCTGTGTATTATTAGTGTTATTATAGCAGTATATGTATATATTCTGTATATTATTAGTGTTATTATAGTATATGTATATATTCTGTGTATTATTAGTGTTATTATAATATTATATGTATATATTCTGTATATTATTAGTGTTATTATAGTATTATATGTATATATTCTGTGTATAATTAGTGTTATTATAGTATTATATGTATATATTCTGTGTATTATTAGTGTTATTATAGAATTATATGTGTATATTCTGTATATTATTAGTGTTATTATAGTATATGTATATATTCTGTGTATAATTAGTGTTATTATAGTATTATATGTATATATTCTGTGTATAATTAGTGTTATTATAGTATTATATGTGTATATTCTGTGTTTCTCTCTGTGTTGTGAACTAGTTGGACGGTCCCTAACTCAGATAGAGAAGGTCAAAGTTCATTTAAAGGGGAAATGTGAGACCGGCTCAGCATTCACTGCAAAGGGCACTAACCTCAGCACACACACACACACACACACACACACACACACACACACACACACACACACACACACACATACACTTTACCCTTTAAACTCACCTTTAACTGTATACACACTGTATACACACACACACTCTCTGTAGCCTTTACTGCAGCTAAATATAACTGCACATGACTGTGTGTGTGTGTGTGTGTGTGTGTGTGTGTGTGTGTGCGTGCGTATATTTTATACTCAACCATATCTTTATTCTTATAGTGTACTTTGTTGTATTTATACTTACTGTAAGGTGGTAACTGTACTGCACTGCAGCTGCCAGCAGTAGGAGTACTACTGTAGTATCACTAATTACTGTGGTACTGACATGGCTACTTATAATAGTAATATTAGTAACGGTAGCAGTGTAGCACTAATAATTATATTAGGAATATTAATGGTAATAGTGACAATTGCAATAGCATTAATAATAATAACAATAATAATAATAATAACAATAATAATAGTAATAATAATAATTTCTCTTCAAGTGTTTATTGTGTCCTAATAAAAGCTGACACACACACACACACACACACACACACTCACTCTTTACTCTTTTGAGGACCTTCATTGGTGAGGACACGCTATATGTGCCCTTTTTTTTGCCCTTCAAAAAGTCTGTGCACGCCACTGGACAGAGTCCTCACAGAGACAGAGACAGACACCCTCACAGAGACAGAGTCCTCACAGAGACAGACACCCTCACAGAGACAGAGTCCTCACAGAGACAGAGACAGACACCCTCACAGAGACAGACACCCTCACAGAGACAGAGTCCTCGCAGAGACAGAGTCCTCACAGAGACGGAGTCCTCACAGAGACGGAGTCCTCACAGAGACAGAGTCCTCACAGAGACAGACACCCTCACAGAGACAGAAACCCTCACAGAGACAGAGTCCTCACAGAGACAGAGACAGACACCCTCACAGAGACAGACACCCTCACAGAGACAGAGTCCTCACAGAGACAGAGACAGACACCCTCACAGAGACAGAAACCTCATAGAGACAGAGTCCTCACAGAGACAGAGTCCTCACAGAGACAGACACCCTCACAGAGACAGAGTCCTCACAGAGACAGAGACAGACACCCTCACAGAGACAGAAACCTCATAGAGACAGAGTCCTCACAGAGACAGAAACCCTCACAGAGACAGAGTCCTCACAGAGACGGAGTCCTCACAGAGACAGAGTCCTCACAGAGACAGACACCCTCACAGAGACAGAGTCCTCACAGAGACAGAGACAGACACCCTCACAGAGACAGAAACCCTCACAGAGACAGAAACCTCATAGAGACAGAAACCCTCACAGAGACAGAGTCCTCACAGAGACAGAGACAGACACCCTCACAGAGACAGACACCCTCACAGAGACAGAGTCCTCACAGAGACAGAGACAGACACCCTCACAGAGACAGAAACCTCATAGAGACAGAGTCCTCACAGAGACAGAAACCCTCACAGAGACAGAGTCCTCATAGAGACAGAGTCCTCACAGAGACAGAGTCCTCACAGAGACGGAGTCCTGACAGAGACAGAGTCCTCACAGAGACAGAAACCCTCACAGAGACAGAGTCCTTACAGAGACAGAGTCCTCACAGAGACAGAAACCCTCACAGAGACAGAGTCCTCACAGAGACAGAGACAGACACCCTCACAGAGACAGACACCGTCACAGAGACGGAGTCCTCACAGAGACAGAGTCCTCACAGAGACAGACACCGTCACAGAGACGGAGTCCTCACAGAGACAGAGTCCTCACAGAGACAGAAACCCTCACAGAGACAGAGTCCTAACAGAGACAGAGTCCTTACAGAGACAGAAAGCCTCACAGAGACAGAAACCTCATAGAGACAGAGTCCTCACAGAGACAGAGTCCTCACAGAGACAGAGTCCTCACAGAAACAGACACCCTCACAGAGACAGAGTCCTCACAGAGACGGAGTTCTCACAGAGACAGAGTCCTCACAGAGACAGAGTCCTCACAGAGACAGAAACCCTCACAGAGACAGAGTCCTCACAGAGACAGAGTCCTCACAGAGACAGAAACCTCATAGAGACAGAGTCCTCACAGAGACAGACACCGTCACAGAGACAGAGTCCTCACAGAGACAGAGTCCTCACAGAGACAGACACCGTCACAGAGACAGAGTCCTCACAGAGACAGAGTCCTCACACAGACAGAGTCCTCACAGAGACAGAGTCCTCACACAGACAGAAACCCTCTGACAGCGTTTGAGAATAAACATATTTCTGTTTTATTTCCTCGGACTGTGATTGGACGCAGTCTCTTGTACTGTAACAACTGTAACTCTGGTTCTGTGAGCCAACCACTGAGCTCCTCGCTCACTAACACTTTAAACACTTTATTCATCCCTGATGGCACACATTATAAAAAACTACACAAGCTCGGGACAGCGGCCATTTTCTTGAGTCGATACGCAGAGGGAGGCTGGGGTGGCGGCCATCTTGTTTGGAGGGTATGGGAGGGGGGCGTCTGTCTTGTCTCACATATTGGATTTTCGCAGGTAATCAACGATCCCGAACACCTTGGAGGCCAGCTGCCCCCCCACGGCGTCTTTTTTCCCCTGAACCATGACTAAAACTGTGGAGACAGACAGAGAGAGAGAGACAGGTGGGTGAGACAGACAGGACGGACATTTATGTAAAAACAACAACAAAAAACACACAAACTGTCTGTCTGACTGTCTGTCTACCTGTCTCCCTCCCTACCCCTCTACTTATCTACCTGTCTCCCTCTTTACCTGTCTCCCTCCCTACCCCTTCCTTCTCTACCCGTCTCCCTCTCAACATGTCCCCCTCCCTACCCCTTTCCTTCTCTACCTGTCTCCCTCTTTACCTGTCTCCTACTCTACCCGTCTGTCTCATGACACATATCAAGTATGTCTGCACTTTAATCTGTCTCCATCTCTACCCGTCTGTCCCTCTACCCGTCTGTCTCACCAGATTTGCTCTTGCCGACACATATTGAGTAGGCTTGGCCGTCGTCCTGCTTGGATGTCTTCAGGTCCAAGGTGAAGACCTGATCCTCGTCCATCTGGTCTCTGAGCATCATGCACTTCATTCCTGCGATGGTGGGACCGTCAGTGCGGAAGGATGACCTGTTTCCAGCCAGCCTTTTAATTTCTTCCTCCTGAGAGAGAGACAGACAGGGAGAGAGACAGACAGGTTATTATCAGATCTGGTCTGAGGCATTAACCAGGAAAGGGCCCACCAGGGGCCAATCAGGGGGACCACTCAGAGGACTGCAATGGAACCGGGTTCAGCATCACGGTAACTGAGCTAACTCAGCTAATGAGCTAATGAGCTACTGGCAGCTAACCTCCCATTTGCATATAATATAATTACAATGACGACCTGGACCAGAGGCAATTATTTTCCAAGGACTCATCCAATAAGAAGAAACAATAACTTCAAATATGAACCAGAAAAGGCCAAATTTTCTGACAACAACTGGACTTTCACTTTGAGGCAGTTGAGTTTGTAACTGGCTGATTTTAACCAGCGAGTGCGTGATGGCCGCCTTGTGTATCCTGCATCTGTTTGTATCGCTGGTTGAGAAATTAAACATATCTCCAGCTTCAATAATAAAAGCAGATTCAATGTGAAATCTGTGTCAGTGTGTCACAGAGATTATTTTCTCTAATCCAACCTCCAGTGGAGCAATCTCATTGGCTGTTTGTGGAAGGAAGCAGGATGATGCTAACTTCAGGGTTGGACTACAAAAACACATCATCACTGCAGCTCTGTATAGTGACAGCAGATGTCAGGTGAAGCAGCTGGAGTGCAGACAGACAGTAAGAAAGACAGACAGACAGACAGGATATAGGTGAAAGAGAGCCGACTGAGCTCAGTGTGTTATAAGATAATAAAAACTGACGGTACTGAGAGTACTTTACTTTATACTGTTCTTCAATTGTGTGTCAATAATACATACAGATACACATATCCTTCACATATATCACATTATATATATTATATAAGTACATTTACAGGGCAGTTTGAGGTACATCTACTGCATATACTACTGTAACTTTACTATATATACTACTGTAACTTTACTATATACTACTGTAACTTTACTATATATACTGTAACTTTACTATATACTACTGTAACTTTACTATATATACTACTGTAACTTTACTATATATACTGTAACTTTACTATATATACTACTGTAACTTTACTATATAACTACTGTAACTTTACTATATATACTACTGTAACTTTACTATATAACTACTGTAACTTTACTGTATAACTACTGTAACTTTACTATATATACTACTGTAACTTTACTATATATACTACTGTAACTTTACTATATACTACTGTAACTTTACTATATAACTACTGTAACTTTACTATATAACTACTGTAACTTTACTATATAACTACTGTAACTTTACTATATATAACTACTGTAACTTTACTATATAACTACTGTTTTTTTAACTTTACTGTATAACTACTGTAACTTTACTATATATACTACTGTAACTTTACTATATATACTACTGTAACTTTACTATATAACTACTGTAACTTTACTATATAACTACTGTAACTTTACTATATATACTACTGTAACTTTACTATATAACTACTGTAACTTTACTATATAACTACTGTAACTTTACTATATAACTACTGTAACTTTACTATATATACTACTGTAACTTTACTATATATACTACTGTAACTTTTTATCTTACTATATAACTACTGTAACTTTACTATATATACTACTGTAACTTTACTATATATACTACTGTAACTTTACTATATATACTACTGTAACTTTACTATATAACTACTGTAACTTTACTATATATATACTGTAACTTTATTATATAACTACTGTAACTTTACTATATAACTACTGTAACTTTACTATATATACTACTGTAACTTTACTATATATACTACTGTAACTTTACTATATAACTACTGTAACTTTACTATATATACTGTAACTTTACTATATACTACTGTAACTTTACTATATATACTACTGTAACTTTACTATATAACTGCTGTAACTTTACTATATACTACTGTAACTTTACTATATATACTGTAACTTTACTATATAACTACTGTAACTTTACTATATATACTACTGTAACTTTACTATATACTACTGTAACTTTACTATATAACTACTGTAACTTTACTATATATACTACTGTAACTTTACTATATACTACTGTAACTTTACTATATACTACTGTAACTTTACTATATAACTACTGTAACTTTACTATATACTACTGTAACTTTACTATATATACTACTGTAACTTTACTATATAACTACTGTAACTTTACTATATAACTACTGTAACTTTACTATATATACTGTAACTTTACTATATATACTACTGTAACTTTACTATATAACTACTGTAACTTTACTGTATAACTACTGTAACTTTACTATATATACTACTGTAACTTTACTATATATACTACTGTAACTTTACTATATAACTACTGTAACTTTACTATATATACTACTGTAACTTTACTATATAACTACTGTAACTTTACTATATATACTACTGTAACTTTACTATATAACTACTGTAACTTTACTATATAACTGCTGTAACTTTACTATATAACTACTGTAACTTTACTATATAACTACTGTAACTTTACTATATAACTACTGTAACTTTACTATATAACTGCTGTAACTTTACTATATACTACTGTAACTTTACTATATATACTACTGTAACTTTACTATATAACTACTGTAACTTTACTATATATACTGTAACTTTACTATATAACTACTGTAACTTTACTATATAACTACTGTAACTTTACTATATATACTACTGTAACTTTACTATATATACTACTGTAACTTTACTATATATACTACTGTAACTTTACTATATAACTACTGTAACTTTACTATATATACTACTGTAACTTTACTATATATACTACTGTAACTTTACTATATATACTACTGTAACTTTACTATATATACTACTGTAACTTTACTATATAACTACTGTAACTTTACTATATATACTGCTGTAACTTTACTATATAACTACTGTAACTTTACTATATAACTGCTGTAACTTTACTATATAACTGCTGTAACTTTACTATATATACTACTGTAACTTTACTATATAACTACTGTAACTTTACTATATAACTACTGTAACTTTACTATATAACTACTGTAACTTTACTATATAACTACTGTAACTTTACTATATAACTACTGTAACTTTACTATATATACTACTGTAACTTTACTATATATACTACTGTAACTTTACTATATATACTACTGTAACTTTACTATATAACTACTGTAACTTTACTATATATACTACTGTAACTTTACTATATATACTACTGTAACTTTACTATATATACTACTGTAACTTTACTATATAACTACTGTAACTTTACTATATATACTACTGTAACTTTACTATATAACTACTGTAACTTTACTATATAACTACTACTATCGATTGATTGATTGATTGATTGATTGATTGATTGATTGATTGAGGTTTGAACTGAGCTACAGAAGAAACAGGAGGAAAATGCAAAGAAGAGAAGAAGAAGAAGAAGAAGAAGAAGAAGAAGAAGAAGAAGAAGAAGAAGAAGAATGTGTGGAGGACAAGTTGAGACACGACACACACACAAACACACTGCTGCCTGGGGAGGCAAAAACCACTTCCTGAAACCAACCAGCCAATCAGAGTAAAGGCCTTTAGGTAGACTACTGCCATGCATTGTGTGTGTGTGTGTGTGTGTGTGTGTGTGTGTGTGTGTGTGTGTGTGTGTGTGTGTGTGTGTGTGTGTGTTTGGTCAAAAACAGTTGAAAATAAACATATAACCCTAAGGCACACATGCACCTTGAATGCATACATTGCATAACTGCAGCAAATCCTCATCACCGTGTGTGTGTGTGTGTGTGTGTGTGTGTGTGTGTGTGTGTGTGTGTGTGTGTGTGAGAAACAAGAAGTGATCGTCTCTGCTTCCTGTATTCGCCGGTCTTTTTCGACATCGTGTCCTTATAAGGTAGTTAAACCAACGCTCAGCCTGCGGCCCCAAAAACACCCACAGAGACACCCGGAAGCGACGCACGCAGAGCATAATTTATTCTGCACTTCGAACGGGACCATTATGTTCCCGCTGCTCAGTCTGACCCCCAGAAACGGGTGAAAATCATTAAAAAAATCTAGTTTCTGCTTCTCGTCAATTAAAGAACTATCACACTGCAAGAAAGGTGCACCACAGCTCGTCAGCTTCTACTTGTTTTAACTCAAACCCAAGAAATCATGTAAAGTCGCACATGTTAATGAGAACATGAATCAGAAATACATATAAAATACCAAAATACACATTGTTGTTCCTTCGGTCAGTAATTTTAAATATTAAGAATAACATAGACCTTCCTCCACTATCTCACTCTCGTATGGTAAAGATTACTAAAGGCAAAGAAATCAGCCAATGAGGTGAGACCTTTCAACGTGTTTGATATTTCTGTCACCTGTTTTAACAAAAGTGACTTTTTGCAGAGAAGCTGCAGAATTTCTTTTCCTGCATGCAGCAGCAGCTCCGCCCGCCTGCGCTGACAGAGCGGGAACCAGCCGAGCCAGAAACTGAACACGCCCAAACCCCAAGAAGAAGAGAAAACCTGAAGCAAAAAACGTCCATTTTGACATTCATAAAAAGCTAATAAAGATCTCCTTAAAATGAGTGACAATCAGCCAATCAGGCGACAGCTGTCAGGCTGATGTCACCTATTGCTGACACAAGGAAAGGCTCATTTCTTAATATTAGTTAGTGTTAAAGTTAGTGTAGTCTGCTGAAAACCCAAAACACATTTTAGGCTTGATGCAGCTTTAAATACTGTGTACGTTTACTCCTGATACTCCGGAGCACAGAGTACTATAGTGCCGAGTTATATTAGAACCAGAACTGCACATATGTGGTTTATTGAAGGAGGAAGTGTCTCTTTCTGGAGACTGACACACCGATTTTTACAGTGTAAAACCTTTGAGCTGACAAACATGTGATCCAAAACAGTGTGTGTGTGTGTGTGTGTGTGTGTGTGTGTGTGTGTGTGTGTGTTTACCGTGATTTTGGCTAGTCCAGGCGAACTGGCCCACACACTCTGCTGTCCAGCCGATATCCCGCAGATGGCTGCATCCTTGACCGGGGTGTTCCCATCGGCATCAGGAGTAGTTAGGTTGTCAATGTATCCTTGCCACGACATCCTGATCAACAACCAATAACACGCATACACTGATCAGTAACACATACACACACAATGACTGACAACCACTAAATGTGTCAGAAGAATCAAACACATGAGCAGAAAGAGCCCGATAAATCCCCAAATGAATCCCCAATAACTCAGAGAGGCCCTGTGTGTGTGAGAGAGAGACCACGTCAGCTTACCTGTGCAGGTATAGTCTCAGGTATGAGGAAGAGGGGGAAGAGAGAAGTCAAATGCAGAAAGAAGGAAGACGGGTTGTCTTTTATATGTCTGACCACTCCCAGCTCGAAGGCAGCTTCCTGCCTTTCTCACTGTCACCCTGTGTCTCTTCACCCCCCCCTCTCTCTCTCTCTCTCTCTCTCTCTCTCTCTCTCTCACCTGGGAAGTGAAAAATAAGGAAGTGAGTGCAGTAAACTGAAGTCATATAGATGTAGTTCAGCACCCATCAAAGTCTGAGGCTTCAAACACACAGAGCAGTAATGTCCTCACAGTGCAGTAATGTCCTCACAGTGCAGTAATGTCCTCACAGTGCAGTAATGTCCTCACAGTGCAGTAATGTCCTCACAGTGTACAGTAATGTCCTCACAGTGCAGTAATGTCCTCACAGTGTACAGTAATGTCCTCACAGTGCAATAATGTCCTCACAGTGCAGTAATGTCCTCAGTACAGTAATGTCCTCACAGTGCAGTAATGTCCTCACAGTGCAGTAATGTCCTCACAGTGCAGTAATGTCCTCAGTACAGTAATGTCCTCACAGTGCAGTAATGTCCTCACAGTGTACAGTAATGTCCTCACAGTACAGTAATGTCCTCACAGTGTACAGTAATGTCCTCACAGTGCAGTAATGTCCTCACAGTGCAGTAATGTCCTCACAGTACAGTAATGTCCTCACAGTACAGTAATGTCCTCAGTACAGTAATGTCCTCACAGTGCAGTAATGTCCTCACAGTACAGTAATGTCCTCACAGTGTACAGTAATGTCCTCAGTACAGTAATGTCCTCACAGTGCAGTAATGTCCTCACAGTACAGTAATGTCCTCACAGTGTACAGTAATGTCCTCACAGTGTACAGTAATGTCCTCACAGTGTACAGTAATGTCCTCAGTACAGTAATGTCCTCAGTACAGTAATGTCCTCACAGTGCAGTAATGTCCTCACAGTGTACAGTAATGTCCTCACAGTGCAGTAATGTCCTCACAGTGTACAGTAATGTCCTCCAGTACAGTAATGTCCTCACAGTGTACAGTAATGTCCTCACAGTGCAGTAATGTCCTCACAGTGTACAGTAATGTCCTCACAGTACAGTAATGTCCTCACAGTGTACAGTAATGTCCTCACAGTGCAGTAATGTCCTCACAGTGTACAGTAATGTCCTCACAGTGCAGTAATGTCCTCACAGTGTACAGTAATGTCCTCACAGTGCAGTAATGTCCTCACAGTACAGTAATGTCCTCACAGTGCAGTAATGTCCTCACAGTGCAGTAATGTCCTCACAGTACAGTAATGTCCTCACAGTGCAGTAATGTCCTCACAGTACAGTAATGTCCTCACAGTGCAGTAATGTCCTCACAGTGCAGTAATGTCCTCACAGTGCAGTAATGTCCTCACAGTGCAGTAATGTCCTCACAGTGCAGTAATGTCCTCACAGTACAGTAATGTCCTCACAGTGCAGTAATGTCCTCACAGTGCAGTAATGTCCTCACAGTGCAGTAATGTCCTCACAGTGCAGTAATGTCCTCACAGTGCAGTAATGTCCTCACAGTGCAGTAATGTCCTCACAGTGCAGTAATGTCCTCACAGTGCAGTAATGTCCTCACAGTGCAGTAATGTCCTCAGTGCAGTAATGTCCTCACAGTACAGTAATGTCCTCACAGTGCAGTAATGTCCTCACAGTGCAGTAATGTCCTCACAGTGCAGTAATGTCCTCACAGTGTACAGTAATGTCCTCACAGTGCAGTAATGTCCTCACAGTGCAGTAATGTCCTCACAGTGCAGTAATGTCCTCACAGTGCAGTAATGTCCTCACAGTGCAGTAATGTCCTCACAGTGTAATTTGTACAGTAATGTCCTCACAGTGCAGTAATGTCCTCACAGTGCAGTAATGTCCTCACAGTGCAGTAATGTCCTCACAGTGCAGTAATGTCCTCACAGTGCAGTAATGTCCTCACAGTGCAGTAATGTCCTCACAGTGCAGTAATGTCCTCACAGTGCAGTAATGTCCTCACAGTGCAGTAATGTCCTCACAGTGCAGTAATGTCCTCACAGTGCAGTAATGTCCTCACAGTGTACAGTAATGTCCTCACAGTGCAGTAATGTCCTCACAGTGCAGTAATGTCCTCACAGTGCAGTAATGTCCTCACAGTGCAGTAATGTCCTCACAGTGCAGTAATGTCCTCACAGTGCAGTAATGTCCTCATGTCCTCAGTGCAGTAATGTCCTCACAGTGCAGTAATGTCCTCACAGTGCAGTAATGTCCTCACAGTGCAGTAATGTCCTCAGTGCAGTAATGTCCTCAGTGCTGACTGTTTCTAGTTGACTGTTTGTCTGTGCAAGCCTTTAGGTCCTTCCTTCCTGCTGCTGTCAGACTGTTTAACAACCAGCACTGCTCCCAGCAGACCCCCCCCCATCTCAGCATCAATAGTAATAATTAATGTTTATATATAATATATATATAATATTTATATACAATTACAATGTGCAATAATTACTGTGCAACACCATATTCACTGTGCAACTGCTGCTGCTGTTATTTGTGTTATCTGTTGATTCTTTCTGTTTTTTCTCTTGTAAATAGTGTTTTTATTTATTATTTATTATTTTCATACTCTTACTGTTTTTATTCTGTTTTTGTCTCTATCCACTTTGCTGCTGTAACACTGGAATTTCCCCATTGTGGGACAAATAAAGGAATATCTTATGTTATCTTACTCTTCCTACACAACCCGTAACCCCACAGGCTAATATAGTTAGCTAATTCAGCTAATTAGCTCCTGACCTTTGGAGGTTCATTCCGCCTGATATGCTAACATTAGCAACTAGCATCAGAGCAGATAAACACTTTAACACACTCGTAAAAACACAACTTTATCAGTGATTTGGGGGAAACCAGATCATATCGCTGCGGGCTTTATTAGAAAAGAACCTCTGTAATGATTTGCTATCCAAATAAAGTTGAATTGACTAACTGCTACTGTAGCTGTCGTTAGCTAATGGCTAATAGCTAGCGTTAGTGTGCAACCGAGCGGGGCTCAGCAGCCTCGCTGCGGACGCAACCCCCGAGGACAGCGTGATGAAAGCGGTACCGAGGGGATTCACAGTCAGCTAATAGGACGGCTATAGACTGGAGGGACGTCACACACATTCAGGTCCCTCCCTAACTGCCTGTTTTTACAGGAAACGCGTGAATATGAGGAAGCTAACAGCTCTCTGCTTCCTGGTTCATGTTGACTTTTATTGTGTTTTTGGGTTTTGAAAGACTAAAAAAGAGCCGACCCTGAATACAGAGTTATCTGACGCACTCTGACCTTTACTGTTGTTAAGATATGATTGGACATTCATTGTCAGGGGGAGGGGTTTAGCAGCTCTACATTACACTGAACTCTACATTAAACAATGATGAACAGCAGATTGTGACAGCGACAGAGGAGCTCTGCACAGTCAGATCCAGAACAACCGAACAGAGAACGGCAGCGGTGACAAACTGAGCTCAAACTGTTGGACTGTGAGCAGAGAGCTGCCGTGTTCGTTTCCACACGCAAACCACTTCCTCCTGACCTGTTTCAGTTCATGTCGACACAAGTGCACGCTGCTGCTGCTGCTGCTGCTGCTGCTGCTGCTGCATACACTGACACACAGGCCCTGCTGTGTAACTGGATCTTTTCAGCTGCTTTCTGTCTCTGTGTTTGTTTTCTGTCCGTCTCAGTCGATCTGTGTTGGATTTAAGTCTTTGTAGTTGTTTGTTCCAACAATAAATGTCAACATAATTTGACCCAGAGGTTCTGAGCATTCACCCACAGCTGCCAGCCACACCCACAGCCCGCTGTCACTGCAATGCATTCTGGGGCTTGCAGTTCAGCACTGTTGAGTATTAAAGTAGCAGCTCCTACAATAAAGTACGATCAGTTAAAATGAGTGTTTGGGAAGGTTCAGGCTGGTTTAATATTTCTTCATACTGTCTGATAGTTGAATCACTTTGTGTTCAGCCTCTGCTCACACATGCTGCATTCCTCTCTCTCTCTCACACACACACACTCACACACACTCACAAATACCTGAGCCAGTTCAGACCTGTGGATGTCAGGAGGGAGACAGAGAGTGAGCGACATGTTAAAACTTGGTTGGTCCACCTCACGGCTGCAGCACTAACACAGTACTGCCACAGTGCTGGAGCGCGTACTCGTACTACAAACACATCAGGATGAAGGAACCTTTAATGGTTATACGTCACAGGGATCGGACGATGACTGTGGAAGAGAAGCAGCAGGACGAGTTACTCCTGATACTGCAGCCAAATCCACCCAGTTGTAGTAGTTAGAGTAGAAATATCAGCAGTCATACAAACACTACAAGTACACTAAGAACTGTGTTACAAGTGATAGTAGGAGCAGTAGTAGTAATGCAGTGTTTGTGGTTGTAGCAGCAGTAATTGATGTAGTCTTACAAGTAGTAGTAATGTGTGTGTGTGTGTCTGTGTGTGTGTGTGTGTGTGTGTGTGTGTTGGACCACTCTCAGTAATGTCTTATTAATGTGCTGTTGTGAGGACCGGGGCTCAAACTGTACACCTGTAAAACCTGACCAGTCTGGACAGGGCTGTGACCTTTGACCCCAGAGGAGGGTTCTGAAGAATGTAAAACATGTAGGACCATCAGTCTGATCTGGTGTGTGTGTGTGTGTGTGTGTGTGTGTGTGTGTGTGTGTGTGAGAGAGAGGAAAGGTGTGGTGGCTCAAACGGACGAGTTTATACAAGCCACCATCTACAGTATGCATAACCCTAGGGAAAAGCGCACACACACACACACGCACACACACACGCACACACACACATACACACACACGCACACACACACACACACGCACACACACACACACACACACACATACACACACACGCACACACACGCACACACACACACACGCACACACACACACACACACACACACACACACACACACACACTGTGTCTCTATATGTGTCTCTGGTGACAGGAAATGGAAACTCAAACCAAACCTCATTCACACTTTGTTCAGTTTTCAGTCACACTGCAGTCTGATGAAAACTGAACAAACTGTCGTCCACTTTCAGAACCTTTTTTATATAAATGTCATCTTTTACAATTTCACTGAACAAACA